AAACTCCTCCTAATTATTGACGCAGCTTAATTAGTCCCTAAATGGCCATGCAGCGTTGATTACACGTGGCATTTTGAGTGGTCGGTAGTGATGTGGGTTTTGCTGTAGACTTGTAAGTGGCCCGTGGCCTTCAGCCTGCAACTGATGGCTCCACTTGTGCTCCCTTGTGTCTACTGTGTAAGTGGAGGGTTCGATGGGGTTGATATAGGGGGGTTGATATAGGTTCTGTATCTTATTTATTGTCAAAACCTAATCAGGTGACGGCTAATTTGTCCGATATAAGCAAAAAAATATTCCTTAAGTAAGAAAAACTATTTCCTGCTTTTAGCGGCTTGTTTCAGACAACAATTGACCTTTTTAACAAACCACATTAAAGTAATTAGGATAAGGCATCCGATTTATTTATGCTACGCAAACAAATTACACGGCTCATTTTCTAATCACTCAATTTCTTTTCCAATTGTTGACCCTTAAGCTTTCTGATTCACTTACACTTTTCATTGTGAATGAATAGCTTCCTGGTGTTTAATAAACTGGGGTTTGATCAAGACCAACGTTGCTGTTTTCAATTTTAGTGTTTATCTTTTCGAGTGTGGCTGCCATTGAGAAATCAATTTCGTGTGGCCTGAGAATTTTTTGCAAAATGCAGCTACAGTTTTATGAAAGTGACACGGATTTTGCATGATGTATTACGCTTCCATAAAATACGCGGTGACCGACCGTGACCAAGAGTTACGGCTGACATTGCCGAATGTTGCCACCAAATATCTTTTCTAATCTAATTTAATCTCCCACCCAAAAAAATTGAGCATTATCAAGTGTAAATAAGCTAAAATATCCAAGTAATCAGTAAAATCCTTCGTTAGGTATGAGGAAGAAACGTCTGACTGAAAAGCCGAGGCTTTGTTACCCAACTGATTGACTAAACCACCATTCAGATTGCTCTTGACAGCTGACCGTTTTGACGAACTGCACTAGGAAAGTGCTATATTTTCACTTAATGAGGTCACTTATATGAGTTGTAAGTCCACTAAATGCCATCATTTACATCGATGACCTTAACTTAGTAGTCGCCACGACAGCCACCACCTTGTGCGATCCGAGGTCAAGTTACTCGTTAGCGAAAGGCCTTCTTTCAAGAAAATGGTGCCACAGTATTGATCTCGGCAAGTCATAGTGTGTCTGGCATCTGCAATCATTTTACCACTAAAAAATAACTATTTTTATAGATCAAAATAGGAGGACGTGGAGTTACCAGGGACAAATTAAATCGTGACAGATAAAATCATACGGCACATTTCAATTGCCCTTGAAAACAAACTAAATTAAGCTGCCTTACATTAACGAATATCTTTGTGCATTCCGGTCAGTTTAGATTGAAATCGTATTCCATGACTGTACAGTTGGTTATATCTTTTACACAGCCTGCTCACTAATTCAGCTAATGTACGGAATGGGAGTCGTGAACTTTTCTGTGGGTGTGCTGCCCCACACTATTGTCACCGGGACGACGCTTTCGTTCGCTAAAGGCGTTCCTGCCCAACGCTGGATTTGTAATCCGAATGGCCTTGAATGTGTTTAGGGATTGGTAAGAGACGCTGCAGTTGGTTTCGTCAATGGCTCTCAGATTAAGACTTGTGGGTCTTCGATACCAATCTCAAACTACACCTCTTGTGATTGGAAGTTTATTGCTGACCTGAAGTCTCTAGATATTAACTCACTTTGCAAACTATGAAATCTGACAAAGTGCAGTTGTTCTTCTGAGTCGATGAATCTCATTTTAGAATATGAGAGGTTTATGTCAAAAGTGGATTGCAATATTGGAGCCCACTGTGGCGAGCCAGTCAAGGAGCACGATGCCAATGAAATTTGTGTTACTCTATAACTTGAGTAAATTACAAGAGTTACTGGAAAGCGAAAATTGAAGGAAGTTCACTTCGGATGAATTGAATTAGCGTACACTCTAATATAACCTACTTCCTCCTCAAATCGTCCAGTGCTATCCTATTAACTTTAATCTTAGCCATTTTAAAGACGATAAACCATGAATGAATTGGAGAAATGCGGCAAATAACTTTAAATTTGCCGCAATCACGATGAGGGGTAACGGTGGTACACTAAAATCTTGAAAGCACAGAGAGTTGGTTACGGCATCAGGAATGCAGCAACTTATTGGGTAAGTTCTCGTTAAGATTTTATTAGCATTTGTTGCAGTTTGAAATAATCTGGGGAGCGTTAGGATCGTGAGAAGAAAAATTTGCATCCCTGCTGAAAGTAATCCCTTTAGTCGCGAATCCATTTAGGTTATGCTGCCTGATGAGAGTAAAGTAAAATAAATCAAATCAGAAATGATTGGCTAATTCAAGCAGTAAGTCTGCGTTATTTTTGTTAATTAAACTCGTGGAGGATGCAGCCCATTCTGAACCACATAAGTCAGGTGTAGTGAGCACACTTTCAAAATTTTTAGGTCATTAATGACTACTAAGAGGTTTGCTTTCATAATGGTTAAGTCAACTGCATGCAAATGGAAGCCAAGATCTATTTTTCACAAAGCAGTGAAGTTGCATCCTACTTATGTGGACGAAATTGTCCTTAGAATGTAGAGAGGTGATCCGTCATTGTGCTCATGGAATGACCAGTGGCATTTGACAGAGGTCATTGTCCTCTATTTAGCAGTTCGACTCAATTCCACGTGAATAAAATTGACACAATGGTAATTGTTTCTTCTTTCTCCTAGTTGTTGGCCACAACACAATTTAGTAAGATGACAGAAGCATGCTCAAAAAGCGAGATTTACCGGTAGCTTCATTTACATAAATTTAGGACCAAGTAGTACCTCCAACATGTACCACTTTTTTTTAAATCTGTACACTCGAAGCAACCGTGGATGTGTACAGTTGCTGAAATATTTCGGATGATCTCGCCAAACCATGACCTCATGATGACTTGAACAAAATATAATTTCACATTTTAAGACAGTTGGGTGGATACTTCAAGCACCTACAGCTATTTATGGCAGTGACATTTCATCATTTAACATCAAGACAGATTAATTCAAGTTAGCGGTAGGCAAGTTGAGACGTAACTTATTTGTAGGCCAAATAGGATATTTACGGATGCGATCTCAAAAAGCCAAGACATTAATCCAATAATTTCACATGAACATTCAGTTTGTCTCGAACTAATTGCCGCAGCTCTTGTAGCATAGATTATACCTAAAGTCTAATGTCTCTGAAAGGAAATCGGCCATATGCACCTTTGTTGCTGCTAAATTACCAATAAAGAGTTTATTCAGCCACTACTGGCACCGTCACTTTGAAAGCTCGTCACCACAACTACTGATTGAGTTTGACTTTAAGATTATGCTTGCGTTGGACCCTGTTCACACAGATTATTAGCATGAATTTTGAAGTTTAATGCCGATTTAGAGCATGTGGAGAAATTGGAGGATTATTAAGAGTTGGGTTTCCTTCCCACGTGCAGCAATTATACGCCCGTTTACTCGCTTATTCGCACCATCCACAAGCCATGTGGGAGTAGGCCTGCGCGTCGTGAGAGCCTACCCGTACGAACGCACACGAAAACACACAGGAGAGTTAATTTGGCCGGCCAGGCTTACGAGAGCGCGCGCGTGCGCGTTGACATTGATCGATAATGCCCCAAAGAGAAGAGGAGCGCTTCGCACGCCATCAAATTGAGCCCCTCTATTGGCTGCTCCCCACTTTCTCATTCTCGCTTGCACGGCAGAACTGACTTTCACTGATTTTTAAATAATTTATTTTTCCAATTTGCGTCACGTATCTACTCCTTGGCTCTGCCATCGTGTTTATGAGTGCTGGTAGCGTGAGTTTACTTGAAAAAAAGTTGCTTACGTTGTGAACTGACTAGCATTCAGCAACGTGAATAAAAGCATGTACTTATAACCATACATCATGTTATGTACCAAACAATGATTTAAAGGTCGAACAAGAGTAGATATGTGGAACGATCGAGGAACATACTTAATGAGGTTCCAAGATTACAGTCCTATTGTCGTTTCGTGATAAAAAGCAAATCTTTACTAAACATTTAGACTGCTAAAACTTGTGAAGTCTGCACAGGATTGTGAGGTCTGTTTTCTACAACTTCAAGTCTTCACGAAAACACATCCAGAATGGAAAGTTGCTGCCACCCCAAGTAACCGCGTTCAGACTGCCACGTACCTGTTTAGGCCTTACGTTGATGGTCGTCATTAAAACTACGGTTTGTCTCACTTTTCGAAATGGAATAGCCTGTGAACACATGAGGTGTTTTCACACTTCCTGATTTATGTTGTATGTATACTACGTCAATAGTCTATGAAGTGAACGACAATTAGCATTAGTACTTGCGTATTCATGTTAAAAGGAGAAATCAATGGACATATCCATGACCTCAGAGTTTAAATATTTCGGGTTGGGTTTCCATAAGATGATTTTTTCGCTAGTAAGGAAACTGCTCTTGTTACTGGGAGCGAAAGACCAAATCTTATTGCCACTGCTGCCCTGACGTTGTGACATGTAAGAAAGGCACCGCACACTGATGCATAAAGTTGTTTTGACAAGAAGTGAAGAGCTGTACTGTTGCTGTGTTGCATTAATTTATTACCTTCAAGGTGAATTTTTCACTTCAAAAATGGGCTGGGTAAAAACATCTTTAGTGGTGGGAGATATTCGTCTGTGGTATTTAACGAAACGAATCTGCTTAACCGTTGGTGTAAAGGACGCATTTTGATAAAGGTTTCGCCAGTTGAAAATGTCCCTTCGAATGAAATACGGTCTTTTAGACAATGATATATTGTGCCATAGTTAATTTTGGGACTAGAATCGAGCATAAATATTATTTAAAGGTTCAGCGCATTATGTACATGGGAGGACGAGTGAAGCTTTTGGGTGACGATGACTTCACTTATCTTGATTTTCGCATGAAGATGTTCTTCTAGTGTGCATTTTTTTAAGGCAGCTTGCCTAGACAAGGAATAGATGTTGACTGATGGCATCGTTTTCAGCTCCCACTTCACACCTGCTTATCAAGTCGTCCACCAAGGCTCTAAGGTATTTCAGCGCCTCCCCCCACCAGCCGACCCATCATCATCATCTGCCTCTGCCCCCTCTGTTGACCTGGCGAACAATACCAGCGACTCAGCAATGGTGGACCGGCCACCAGTTACAAGGTCAAAGGATGAATTCTTTGGGGGTGTTACAAGGAGAGGAAAAAGCAGGGACGCACCTGCAGTGCATCACACTCACACCTCCGGCGATCTTCTCGGGGTCGTTTCCAATTTCGTCGCCAAACCTGAAGGCGGGAGGTGTGACGTTTGCGAGATATGCAATTTTACTAAATTCGCCGGGATCGCAGGACATAGATGTGCGCAATGCAATCGAAAAACTTGTGCCCGCTGTGGCGGGTGGTTTGGTTCACAGGTAGGTTAAGTGCTTCCAAATTCACCATAGTCGAACGATCTCTCAAAGTCAACTTGCAGTTCTTCTTGTATGAGTACAAAACAACAGTTTAGTATAGACTAAACCAAAGTGTTCCATGTTAACGCACAGCACAGCCGAAGTCCAAATCCTGAAAACGGATGAAATACCTCAAGTGGGACAGGTAGACGATTGAGTGTCAAAATCTTTTTCGACTAAAAAGAAATCGAAGATTCTTTTCATCGGTCCAGTTTTTATTCTGTCGAGGCTCTATTTTTTTACGATTAACTATCATGCAATATCGTAAAAATGTGAATTTATTCAAGCAAATACATACCTTTAATAGTTAAAATATTACAATTTCTGTGTATTAACTTTCCAAATATCCCATTATTGGTACTCTTGAGTTTCCAAAGACCTGGAAAGATTTTTAAGGTATACACGTGCATGTGCAATTGGACTACATTTTGGCCTTCAGAAAACGGTGAATGACAAATTATCCATGACTGAACAGCAGTGAAAGTAATTAAGACCATTCTTGGGTAAATTTGACTCCAGACGTCCTCAATTTAGCAGTTGTCTGAACATAGCAAACGACTACTACTCGGCTGCATATTTTGACTTATAAACAGGATCATTGTCTTGAAGTTGCAACGCGCACAGACGACAAATTAAATGTCAGTGTCAACGAACCCGACAGTAGTGATGTAACCACCAACCTAAAAATTGGCAGCTAATGAAACTACTGGCCACCCAAGCTAAATCACTCTTTTGCTGCTAAAAAGGCCAATCCGTCTCAGTTAAATTATTTGTGTATTTTCCCCAAAAAGTCAGTTTTCCATGGATATGGATTTGGACGTTCTCAAACGGGATATGTAATCACAATCTATTTTGCAAAATTAGACCGTTCTAATTTATCTTTTCTCGACCGAGAGAATTCATTTTGTGGCTAACCCTTCAAAAACCTCCATTGTAATCAGGCGTTTACTGATAAATGCACTACTTACTGTTGAATTAATTAAAATAAAACTGACTTCACATCATGACATTGTCTTACACATTTCTTCACATCGTTTCTCACAAAGCCTTATTTGCATCTGAATGCCCGAACTAATAAGCCTGTAAACCACAAGGTGCCATGAACCAATAATAAATATTTTGTTCTACTGGACTAACCACTGCTTAAAGCTAAAAGTTATTCAGACAAATTTTTTGCATTCAAAAATAACAAATGGCTTTAAAATTCAATTGTAATAGTTCTAAGAACAAAAAAATCTCTTATTTACGTTCAATACTAAGGTGGCAATAAAAATGTATGAATTGCGCAATGCACATTTATTTGCCCTTCTATGTCAAAGCTATGGAACCACTTTTTTCCTTGCATAAATCAAAGTGAAAAATTGACTGCATGTGTTCAAGCTCGTTTGAACAGTCCATAATATCAGGTTATGAGTTACTTTAAAAAGGTGAACTTGTAGACGTTTATATTGAATATAATTTCGCATATACTGTTTCTATAGGGTAGTCATTATATCAGTTTGACACAGTATCTTTAGCTAAATTTAGGCTTAACCATTGAAAGTAAGCATGGTTTAACTCATTTATCGCTTTGTATCAAGTCGTCATGGGTTTGTAAAACCTGCTTCGGTAACTTATCATCCCCTTCCTCTGCAACCTGCGATTCTGAACATCGACACGGAGCCAAGCGCCTTACAGGTCCACTCTCCTCGGCGATTCCCTCACACGGAAGGGAGTCCTCCTCCTCTCCCCTATCACCTGAGTCCAGCCCGCATCCCCGGCTGAATGTGCCCACATCGAGCGCCACCATCACAGCTTCCCCCACTGAAGGCGCTCAGAGTGGCTATGCAGGCGCAGCCAGCAGAGCAAGGTTGCGAAATACCATGAGAGAGTAAGTCCTCATGTCGTACACACTGTTAACTCTCAGCTAGACGCGGCACTTAATCGAGATAATCAAAGTGTGTTTTGGCAAATTAGTTGTCTTAATATAACCAAGGAAGACAATCAAATGACTGAAGTCTAGAGTACAGCTAAGGGAGTTTCAAAAATTTAATGAATTTCCTCAAAATCTATTTAAAAGTTAAATTGCATTGTTCTTAATTTTGACCCCATTCAATTTAAATATTTAGTCATCGATCTGCAAGTGAAGAGGAGCACACTTGGATCCACTTTCAGCCTACACTCAGCTCTCATACCCATTACCCCCACCCCCACCACCCAACTCACAACTACTACCACCACCACCCTCAACAGCAGCCTTCCACTTCGACAGTTCTGCCCCAATATCAGCAGCAACACTTCACCCATTACCCCTCCTCTTCAACTGCCGTTACTCACCACTGCACCCCTCCACAATTGCGGCACGCCGCCGGTCCCGCTAGTGGTCGAGCGCTCGGTGACAGCTGGTCACATCCTGGTGTCCCGCCACCGCTGAGATTTAAAAGCCACACGCTGAGAACTGCCGAATATGGAAGGAGCAGTACACTCTCATGCGGATCTGCCGAGGGCTCACCACATGGAGATTTCAACAGAGGATACTTGCAGCGGACGGGGGGTGGTGGACAACCAGATCCGGGGTCCGTTTCGGAACCCTGCCAGCCAGAAACTTTCCTACGAGGTAAGCTGTGAATCAAAGCCTATTATTTAAAACGCAATCTGATGACATGAAATATTCGTGGCCTTCAGTATTGCTGACCAATTAATCACTTTTTCTATACTCTCATCAGTTTCCCTAGGCCTGAATCTTAAATATTCAAATGAAAGATTAGCTTTACTGCCTCTTCTAATGTCACCTGCGTCCCCATAAGGAACAAACAACTTTTTTGGTCGCCTTAAGTAAAAACTACCGGTTTTTTACTGCAAAGATTTTTTGCTGATCTGAGCCGTAAAATAATTTCCGAGGCGCAAAGTGAGAAATAGAATTGCATTGCACAAAATTACTGATTTCAGATTAGTTAGTAATACTGTGAACAAAAAATCCTATTGGTAAGATTTAAGATGAAATGAAGCAGATAGTTACTTGGAAAATTCGACCGTCATCAGTAGCGATACTGAAAGCTAAAATATTACCATTGAAAACCGGCCCACGGTCCCTTCAATACTGACATTCCTTACTCATTATTTTCTTTGATGCTTTTCCATGAAGTGCAAGATAAATGCAAAATTTGCTGTACTTAATAAAGTAATTGAGTGCGTTTTTCAGGTCAATATCGCAAGTCCTTCATCAATGAAAGCCGACGATATCAACAAAGCGTTGACGCTGATCGGCCGACCTCGGTGAGTTGATCTACAATGAGCAGCCTGTTAACGTCCCTGGTTGCAGCTCAGATGCAGACCTTAGCTACGATTATTTTAGTGTTATTAATGAAATCAGCCACTTTGGTCCTCTTCTCAGTAGTTTGTTTAGAGTTTGTGGCAAACTCGAATAATGGAATCTGAGCGTGGATAAAGTGTCCCCAGTTTGCATGGCCATGACTGACCGGGCATAAAAAATTTAAACCTCATGCGATGTAACGCTTGACTTGCACCTGGAGGTAGTAGGCACATCACCTACCGGAGTGTGCTGGCTAGTTAGGGCTTCTAAAAATTCTACCAACGTTGTTAATTGCTCCTACTGGTGCAATTGTAACTGGAATTCATTGGTAGTGTCTTTCTTAAAGAAACGGTCGGCATTCTGGTCATCATCACCTGATGGAACGAGCCTAACTGGTCAGGTTTACCTTCGAAAATTAAGAGGATCCAGCGGAACAGGCCTTCTCAGCAGCTTCGGTAAGGGCTCTTTCTAACATCCCTTGTTTGCAGTTCATATCAGTCCTAATGATAAAACCTTTCTACATAAAAAAATTTACTGTAGGTATTTGAAAAAGCTGGAAATCAAACAAATGATTAACTATACAAATGTCCCTTAGTTATACAATTCAGAGTGATTTGATTTCGTCCGGCCGAATAGGGCTGAAAATATAAAAGGAGTCATTTTGGATCTTTAAACTGTTTAAAAACAATAAAAGCAGAATTATGAGCCATCGTGCACACAATAAACAATGAAGGTTGCTTTAATTAAAAGTCGAAAATTGGAGAACTGAAGGAAACACTTCTATTACTGTAAAATCAACGTTGTTCGGTGATCTGGAGAGGTTTCCTATAGAAAAACGATTGATTTAAACTTCCATCAAAATATTAGGTTTATATTTAGTGGCAAAAAGGAATGACAAGTTGTGCTATTTGTAGTACTTTACAAGAAGTTTGCTCGCTTGGGATGCGGTTTCGCAGATACACCAACTTTTAACAATGTTAGTGGCATGAATATTCAGTGGAATTTGAGGAATTTTAAAATGCCGATGCTTGTAGATTTGTGGTTGCTCAGAATTACTACTTGGTCATTTCTAACTAATATAATTTGATTTATGCACCTATTTGGGTGGCGCCTATGGCCATGAATAGTGAGGGAAACTGACAGCGTTATTACTAACCGCAAGCCGTTCCCTAAGCTTCACTAACTGAACCAAAAATGGGTAACATGGACAACACGAACAAAGTCATTCTGTTTCATTTTAGACTCGCAATAAATTTGAATTCACCTTATTAATATTGATGAAAATGTGGTGGTTTGGGTCAATTTCACCCTAGAAACAAGCATTAATGCTCTACATTAAGTTAAAACAAAGTGAGTTAAATCAAAAGGTCATCTGTTTAATCAAGCAAGGTAAAAAGGAGGGCTTCAACAACTAAATATGTTTATTTAATTAACATATTTTGGAGAGACTATGATTTTCAAGTGTCACCCAGTACTAATCGCGTTTCCTGAGATGTTCCTTCCAGAATAATTTCATGCATCCTTTCTAGTGATGCCGTCGTCTTTCGATATTGGCGTAAGTAACAATGAAAGAGTTCATCAAACTTGGGACACAGCATTAGCATGCGGACACGTTTGCGTACAAAAAACAGTTAACTAGTTAACAAACGTTTTGCTTCTAGCAGGGAATACTCATTTTACTTATTAGTCTACCTATGATTCTTTAATAAAATTTGAATTTTTTTGTAAATCTGACCCCCAGAACAAACTTTACCATATCTGGCATAATTAACTCAAATATCGTGACCTACTTACGTAATCTTCAAATGTTCATTTAGCTGAATCCAGTAAAAACTAGGGAGGACTGGTAAAAAGAGGCATTATCAGAAAGTTAGAATCATATCTTGAAATTAGTCACTTCCGTGAATGGAGAAAAAGTCATTGTGCTAACCTTAATTGACACTCAAGCATTTGACACTTCTGGCGCAATAATTGAGTAAACACGTAGACAAATTAAGTGATATTTTTGCCTATCCTTGCAGCAGTTAAATCATTCCATTCATTTTAATACACAATTTTGTCATTTGCACTAAAACTACACAATATTTAAAAATGAAAAAGACAAATAATTGTTGATTGAACAGAAGCCCTACAATAAAAGTTGTGTGCATATTCTACACTATTCAAAATTGTAATTTCAGATTCCTTCAACTGTTTAACTTCATTGGCCTCCTTGGCTTTATTTAGCCAAGACAATAACTCCACAAATTTTCTCGTTGACTGTAAATAACTATGGATGACAGATTTAGTGGAGCTTTGATCCTAATAACCAGCGTGACTTAACCATGTGCTGCTAAGCTATTGTGGCTGTTTGCACCCTTGGATGATCAATTTACCATCAAAACCTCATGGAACTTACAAGCGATGACCCTTCAATCATCGAAATCCAACTGCACTGAGCTAAGTGCGATCTCCATGTAGGCCCTAATATCAGCAAGTGTGCTTGAAACAACAATCTTAAGCACATAATCGCCAGAGCGAATTCACAGCAAATTCTCACTTTGAGGGAATGTGTGATGGAGTTAAGCGTGGAGAGCTGCGTCAGTATTGTGGTGGTCATGTCTACATGTCCAAAGTTAAATGGAAACTCCATCAGCATTACCCAGATTCAAATCAGCTAACAAGTGACCTGCCCAGGACAACTGCGCTCAATTTTTTCTGCTAAGCGGTGTGCCTTCCGGTTAGCGCTTATCAAAGGAGTGTCTGGGTTACAGCCAAAATTTAACTTTCACAACACAGAGAGTGTGGGTGAGGTGGTAAGACATTGCAAAATGTAATATCATGCCTGGAAATCAGGAACTGAATTCGGTGCAAGCAGATTTTCGCACATCAATGACATCCAAATAGTTAACACGATTAAAGTTAATTTAGAAAGCACCCAAAGGCCAAAGTTATATGTCTAAAGAATTGTAATTTTGTGAAATGATGGAACCAAACAAAAAGAATATTATTTTAAGAGGTGAACCAATTTTTATGCAAATTTTAGGCCTGAAGCTGGTGATCGGTAAACGGGTACCATCGGATATGGTAGGAACCTTCGTCAGTTCAGTAAAAGAGGGTTCTGTGGCGGATGTGATGGGTGAACTTCAAATCGGGGACGAGATACTTGAATGGAATGGGCACAGTCTCCGTGGTCTTCACCAAAAGGAGGTCACTGAAATCTTGGCTCTCTCACGCAAGACTGACGAAATCTGGCTCACTGTCCAACGGATTTTTGAGTAAGCTTGTTGAAATAGAAATTCAATGCATTAAATCATGCTACGAAAAAGAGGAACCCTGTGTCGGAGGTGGAGCGACCGGAATAAGGGTTGTGATAAATACGATTCACAACAGAATATTGTTTAATGGATTTCCGGCACCAGGTTAAAGATTTAACAAAAAGCCAATTCATGCCACTCATAGACTAGGACTTTCTAGGTGGCTGACCAGGACTTGAGATAAGAATTTCATTCAGATTTAGAGATTCAGAGAAATGGTAACATTTTATCACTAGCGAGCTCAGAGGAACGCACTTACGCTTGGTATGGACTACCACACTGCTGTAAAGTTGCCATCAGCACAGAAGCCTGTTTTTACTGTCTATTTATGAATACAGCGTCAACTTTACTCTTTCGTTTAGCGACTTCAATGAAGAGTCCGATGGCGCAACTTCATCTTCCCTCTCAAGACACGGTAAACTTACTTTATTGCAGTTTTATGTAGTGTTAGTCATTCTGATGAGGGCCTTCAACATGAACGCGTAGCCTAATATTAAAAAATTCAGTGAAGTGAAAATATAAAGTTGCTTATGCTTTGTGGTTTGGAGTATCATTTTACAGACGTTTGTTTCACTGTTCGAGCGTTATGTTTTAATGACCGTATTCGCAACTGGCTATAAGTGACTGGATGGAGCGAGTGCTGCAGATGGAGGGTCCGGGAGGTGGCCACGAGCCAAACGATTGTGCCCCAGTTAGTGTTCGTGGAAATTTTAGGAGCATACGAATTACCACCGCACCAAGCCCACTACCACCTAAACCTCATTGGTGGATTAAAGTGTCCTCTTTCAGGTTCCAGTTTACATTGGCTTGTTTGGTGCCCCACACATCACAAATTCAGGAAAAGCACAAACTACTCCGGCATGCCCTTTCCTTTAGGTGAGGAAACAAACTTTCCAGAAGACGAAGATGACGACTACCGTGACACTCCTGTCCAAGAAGATGCTGATCCGCACCTGCAGGTAAATATTTTCCCTTATTATTGTTTTTACAAAATAATTACTATATAAAGACTCACACTCATTTAAGTGATAAGCATTGCTTACACGTAATTTTACAGGATGCTCATTGGTGGCTATTTGATTTCGCATATTGTTTCTTTTCACAAGCTTACACTTCTATTCGATGAGAAACGGACTCTGATTGTCTCCATTTTGGCTGCTCGTGACCTCCCACCGCAGTTCAATACGAAAAGTTGGCTCTGCAACTCCTTCTGTCAGATTAGCATCCTACCCGAAACCGAGTACGTTGTGTGCTTAACACTACTGAAAGTGATTGATGCAAACTTGGGAATCAGCAAGCACAATACGGTTGATTTATGAATGCTTGCCAAATCCCTTTAAAAGTCTTTTAATGAGTCAGTGTGCGTGTATTTTCATGCGCCATAAATTCCGATTGTTCATCTGCCGTGGAACTAAGAGATCCATCTACATTAGACATTGCTCAAGCTTCACAAAAATGCCTGCCAACTCAGTTGGGATGTCGGCTATCTTGTTATGTTTATCTGTAAATGTGGAAGCACAATGCCCGAGTAAACCAGATACGATATCTAGTGCACTTGGAGGCATTACATTAGAAGCGGTAATCATGAGCCCCTGACTCCAATTACATTATGACAGACCCACTTGTAGGAAGGTTTTGTGACTTCTCACCACTACACGTGTAGTGGTGAGAAGACCTGGGGTGGCATGGCTACCAAGTTTGGGTGACTAGTGTCTTGAAGATAGGTAGGTGCTGACATCAGTTGGCATTATAGACATGGCCGCTTACGTGCCTCAGCTTATCTCGACCAGTGCTTACACCTGAAACTTACCGGTAAATTACGTGAATATGACAGCAAACCTAAATGAAGAGTTTACCTTTGTATTGTGATTTCTATTTCAATAAGTCAAAACATCCTTCTAGGTACAATCCGCTACTTATTTATGTGACCATCAGATAAGCAGTAGATAATTCTCTTGTCTGCTCTGCAAACCTAATCGACTTTTTTTTCAAAATCACCAAATAAATAATTTGTGTTCTTTTTCAAATTTTGCGACTTGGACAAATGGCTAGCCCGAGATAATAAGTTAGCATTTTCATGTTGTGAGACTGTAAGATAAATGTCATGCTTACAATTGGCTCAAGCCCTTCAACCTAGGACGGAAGCTCAGAGTAGGTCAAAAAAGACAGTTATGGAAACTTGGAAAAGCCGGTAACTCATATCCTCCCAGTCGATTTAACATCACATCTATAACCCTGAGCAGGTTACTCCAGAAAGACAATTTTTTTTCAAAAAGAATCAAGATTTGTTGAAACTCGTACTGGAACAGGGAACCGCTATAAAATGTACAAAAATGCGAGCAGATTCTTCGTTGGGTTTTAAAAGAGGTGCGAATTCGTTAAAGATGTTGTAGTAGCATAGCACATAATAATTTATATTTATTACCACAGTAAATAACATCTCAAGCAACAGCCTGTGAGATGGGAAAGAAAATAGGGCATGTATAATCTTCTTGGTTCAATTATCTTCAACGATTTCGGTATCTGAAAGTCATTAATATGCTGGATTCATTTTAGCGAAATTAAAACACGATGTACGAAGGTGGTTTACAACACCAATGACCCTGTCTGGAACCACAACTTCGCCTACCAGGACTTTGAGGTTGAATCCAGGGAGCTGGAAGTTGCGGTGTTCGATTACCACCAAAACAAACCTGCTCTAATTGGAGAGGTATGCTACTTCTAATGATGATGGTTTCACAGAAAACATGACTTGGGTCAACGTACCCACATGAAAGGAAAAAATACTCTTAATTATACATTAGATAATGCAATAATGTAAAGTGTTACATGACAACTTAAGTATGGTTCCCATTGACCGCAAGTTCCCTAGGTTTTCGCTGTTTTTTTGGAATCCATTTTCATGGTGCACGTACTAAAACTACTACCGCCACAATGCGGTAATAGCTGGTTGTCTGTTCTACTACCGTGATTATTTTAAAGTTCACACTTCGATGGAACTCAGGAAGAATGAAACGTCTTTTATTTTTAAAATTTTGACTAGTGGTAATTGTAAAGATGATGCTGTTTCCTTCTAAAATGCTTTCTTCATGAAAACAGACAGAAAACGTTTATTCACTACGGTAATTAGGATACAAAATGAGTAGTGTGCAGTTACATACTGGAGTGCAAATGTGAACGCGCCAACAGGATCATTTTTTCTTCTTTCCACAGGTGCTGATTAATTTGCAGGTTGCTGACCTGTCTGGACGTGCCTATTGGTACCCCATTCCTCCACCATGGGAAGCTGCTGACCTCGACCCTTCAAACCAGGCTAGTCTCTGCTTTTGCAGTTAAAAATTTCATAAAATTTTATCCGCTTTGTGCTCAGTCGTGTTGAGAGTATACAGTACTTTAAAATGTTTCACTTGTGCATTTTGGCAAAAAATAAAGTTATTATCAGTGGACTGTCCATACTGGACAATAAAGATGAAAAATGACATTTGAACATGCATTTTGATAAGTGGCTTCACATACTACAAATCTGCTGGCTTTGTAAGTAAATATGCATTTTTTAGCGGGTTGGATTTGCAATCATGCTTTCCACAGTTAAAAGGGGTTCGATTTCTAGATTCTGAAGATGTTAACGAACTTGTGCGCGATAAGCGAAATCACCTGAGTATGTGATTATTGCCATGATTGCAGTGTTTTTGTCCGTAGCAAGGTGTCCAAGTGTTTCTGACACGTCTTAAAATTGTGGTCAGTAACTTTCAGATAGATGTGTTGCTCTGTAATACGTTAACATATAACAGTGTCATTGAGACACATAAAATTAAATGAGTTCCGGTAAATTTAAGTAATGTTATATCAGCCAACTGCTCCATGAATTTTAGCATGTAATGTTTATCTTTGTGATTCCACCACAGGAATCTCTTCGTTTTCCCTCATGTACTTTCAGGGTCTTTACCATAGGCCTTTTCCGGTGGCTCACCCAGGGTTTATATGAAATTTACTGGGTTCTGCGTCAACAAAACTGGACAAAAACAGACGTAATACTCCTAAAAACTTTCAAAAAATAGATTATTTGGCTGCGGCACACTACAATTACAGTTGTTTTTACTACTAGAATAAATTGGAGAAGACATGTGCTGATAAAGAAAGGGGTTTGTGGTGAATATTTAAGCCGCTGTGTGGTTAGTCGTCCTAAGCATAATTATTCAGAGATACTACTCGAACACTAAAAGCACTGGGCTTCAGGGGTGTATAAATGAATGAGTAGTGAAATGCTGTCGTGTGAGCGCTTGGGTCAGGCGGTAGGTAAATAAATCTTAGACTAGATGGAAAATAAGCCTCAATGACGCTCAAATAATCGACGATCGGTGTTATATAAAAGGAAATGGACAGGTGGCTAGATCTTTTTTATTACCGTTTGAAGCATTTCTTAAATTCAGTAAAGTGCCTTAGAATTTAAATCAGTATTTCATGAATGACAGCTGCGATTCTTCTTTTATTCATCCAGAATATCACGTCCACTAAATTCTAAAAAAAAGTTATTTTAACATTGTAGTCAGTACTAATGGGTTCAGTTTTAGTCCCCAGTCACAATTAGATCGATTCTCGTAGCCTAACCCTTGGGTATAACTGTGAGATGAATGGTCGAAATTTGACGGGCTGAGTTACACGCAAATAATGTGTGCTTCGCTAAGTTTTGAGCTTAGTCAGACCTAGACGTTCTGTCACATTACCGTAAACAAAACTGCGTGATCTACCAACTGTGCTTTCATTCCCCAATCGACATGAAATTATACTTGAATGGTACGAGGTTCCTTGAGCTCCAACTCACTAAAGCCATGCCTCACACCAACTTCGCAACAACCAATACTGCACAAACGGATAGTAGGGATAGTAGTAGTAGTATTGGCAATAGTATTGGTGGTAATATATTAATGAGTCTGATCACACCATGTTACTTTAGGCTCCAAACAAATGGTTCCCTTGAATCCAGTTGTGACTTTGGGAAATTAGTAAAATAGTCACAATGGCTCTTAAAAACCCTCCACGTGTTATTTTGTACCCAGAATAGGCCAGTTTGCGTATGTTCAGCTTCTGGTCCAGTGAAGTCACACTGGTCCTCGCAGTTTTCACGATTAATGTTAAAACACTTACCTGTTGGCCAGAGTTTCTTCACAACCAGCCTTTTCTTTTCCTGGTATGGACCGACTTTCCATGTTATGTGTTAAAAATCTAAACAAATTCATTTTATTTCATAAAGCAGTATTGAATGTACACTATTTATGTTTTAGGTGCAGTCTGAGAGTCAATATTTTGAGACAGGTCAGTAACAATATCCCATTTACAAAGCGGTTTTAGTGCATTGCAGTATGTACAATACTTTGACTTTTTATTCCAAAATCATTAAAATTTGTACCATCAGTGACAAATTTTAGAAACAGTTGAAAAAAATTGTCATAAAAAATGCACAGTTGAAAAGAACAGGCAAACAATAGTGTCTTGTTCTTGTTGGTCAGTGACGTCTTAGACGTATGGTTCCATATAATAGATGCCGAACTTAATTTACTAACATTTTTCGATGTTTCGCAGACCTGGATTAAATCAGACCATTATTGAGTCTCAACAAACGCATAGATCACTTAAACGCTTACTTATTACAATTCGGTACGAGCATAATATGACAGTGACAAACTGATTCAGGAGTCTCGAGTTTGCATCTCCAGCACTTTGTTGTTTAAACCACAAGGGTATACATTTGAAAATACTTAGCAAGGCTTTAACACCATTCACTTCTGCTATCCAAACATTCTTAAATGCAAGAATTTTGGGATTTACCGAAATTGAAATTTTGCTCTACTGAATTTTACCAATCACCTTATAGCAGATGACTGGTCAGACGACGCCTCTGACAAGGATGCGGTCCAGACATCGCATCAGCCGGCAGCAGGCGGTAAACAGCGAACATTAAGAGCCATCAGCCCCCGTTCCGTTCCGAGCCAGCTCTCCTCTGTGAGGCATCACTTACGTCAACATCAACGAACCGGAAACCAAAGAAACTTCCAACAAGAATCACGGATCCAAACCCGACATGAAACAGGTTTTAGGCAACCTAGTGATAGGTAAGCAAAATGACTTCAACATAAGTTCTGACCTTAGAGTATTTTAAAAGTGCATTAAAACTGTCGAAAATATGGAAGAATTACGCCTCGTCTAATTTGCTTATTTTCTAGCTTAGTATAAGTTTACTAATAAATCGAATTAAAAATGTTGAAAGTATTAAGAAAATGCCTCAAGTTTTCTGTTTTAAGCAGTTACTAAGTCATTTCAAGCAGCTATTTGCACAGTTTTGTCCACCGAGTTATTTGTTCTTTTAAGATAATCCTCAAAATTAGGAGAAATCTTTCGAGAAAAAACGAAAAAGCTTAGTCACTTTCTTCCTCAGAACACTATATTTACTGAGTTTTGAGCATTCACGTAATGTCGAATTAATAAAATTAACTTAATGCTTTAGTAATAAAACGCAAAACCACTTCCAATATCTTGGTGGGTATAAAGATGACATTTATTTTAAGGATACCTTTTCGACATACCTTCAGATCGCACTCCTAGGAAGGGAAGTCTCATGACCATGACCTTTTCTCATTGGTGTCCACAAGCATACGTCAGCGCTCTATTTTTAAAGACCAATTAACCTAACCTCCGCAACTAGATATGGTTTAGGCTGTGTACTAGAACGACGATTTTTAGATGCTCTCTAAAGAAATTTGCGTTATTGTGATTTCTCATATTTTACTTTAAAGCCAAACCTTTTTCGTCACTTTACAGATGGGCGCGGTTCACCTTGTCTGAGGACGAACAAAGTTTTCTTTCGGACAATTCGGAAGCCTCGGGTTTCTCGAGTTTTTCGAAACTCAGTCTTCAATCAAGCCAATTTCATCACCGTCAGCGCCTCATCGCAGCCAACTTAGGGTCTGCTCGACAATCACATCAAAGCACACGAAACCGTTCCGCTTGTCATTCACCTACTCAGGAACTCATAGTAGAAACCGGTGAAGAGGAAGATGAAGACGAAAGAAACATCGTTGACGAGAGAAAGCAAAAGCAGGAAAAGGAGACAAAACCCGTCGTCGACCAGCCAAAAGCTAACTTCACAGAGGACAAATCCACTCCCTCATCGATGGCCACAATGACTGCCGCTAATGAAGTGAAAACCGGCGTAGCTACATCGGCTGCGTCAGCGAACTCAGCTCGTAAGAGGAGATCCAGCATTGGCCAGCGATTCAGTAACGTGTTAGGCATTTCAAAAAAAAACACTGCGACAAGTGCAATCGGTTAGTTTGAATTTTAATTTCAAATTTACAGCTGTTTGTGGTGAGTGGACATGAACTCAGACCTCCTCAAAAAATTTTTAAATAAAATGCAAAGAAATCGGCTTGGGTTTGCAATTGGCCAGGTTTTAATTGCTAAACCTCCCCAATATGCTATCACGTAGAAATCCGAATCTTAGAAATCATGGGGAAACACTGTGCCTGACGGCTGCTCTTGATGTAACCAAACTAAAGACTTTTCCCTTTATGGTAACTATATAAAAGACTTAAAAATTATCACCAATTTATGTCAACAAAAACTCGACAGATACTTTGTCTTAACTTTTCAAAAACTTAATGCCTTTTGAAGGCTTTTCTGGTTTCTTTTAAAACGTTCCTAGTTAACTGGAGTACAATAAGCGCATTAACTTTAATTCTGATTTCGCTAAATAATTTTTATGTAATATAATCAGGGAACTTAAAATAAGTTGTTGCATTCCCCGGCATGTGGACTCGAGCCACATCGGGGCCACTAAGTTGAATCTGACCCATTTACGCTACCCTCTTCCCCGCAATGATGAGGAAGATCGGAGAGAAAATGACACAACTGTTTGCTTCAGAGCTAAACCACGTTGGTGTCATTGTGTCATGTGTAGCGTTTGCGAGTGTTTTTTGAGCTCAGATATGTGAAACAGCTTGAGCCGTGAATGTGCTAACATCGAAACCTATGTGAAAGTTGTCACACTTGGAGATAATCCAAGATAAGCGTTTGCGCTGATGAGGTGTGAATTGAGGTTTAACTTGGTTGACGGCACTCTGTTAAAAGGGAAACGTTGTGTCGGGGACTAGAGCGGCAAGATTAACAAACGTAAATCGACGCGATTCACAACAAAGTAAAAATAACATCTGTTGAGGTGTAAAACGCTCCGATTCAAATTGCTTGAAAAATAGCCAGCCACATCTCTGCAGCACTGTAAGTAGCGCATGACCAAAGGGAACTGTCGTTACATTTTCCATCGTCCCAAAAATCTGCGTTTTATAACTGCAAAGTGCATGAACGTTTGACAATACATATACGTTCACTAAAGTTCAGTGTGCGTAATGGCATCACATAATTTCCTCAGCTCCAGCATTTCTTATTTGTAGACACAGAAGCTAATTGCTAACAGAAGCCTCATTGCTGATTATCCTACTCAAAGATTGTAATTCTCAACACTAAAAGGGATTAGGAAGTTGAAAGGCAGCCCAGAACGGTCGCGCTTATAATTCACTTTTTTTTCGCGTAGACAAAAAGTCAAAGGCTTCCTTTCAGCGCAGTGAAGAAGTGCTACCAGCGCACATTCAGACAAACGAAAAGGCCACAGTCTCCGGCGGCTATAAGGCTCCCGGGGCAGTGGCTGAGGGAGCTGGATTTGGGGGCATCGCAGCGAGCAGTGTTCAGCCTGGTGGCGGGGCAACCGGCTACCAAGGCAGCCACCACATAGCCATTCAACACCACACAAGTACGTCTCTCCTCTGTTCCACTGCCGGCAGGAAAGACCAACTGGCTCTAGAAATGTGAGTTTTAATAGTTTAGGAGCTTGATAAGTTCCAATTTATAATTTGGTGTATCGTTACACAAGCCTAAAAGTAGTCATTTTGCCTTAAGTGGATTTTTGACGCATCGTGACGATGGTTGCTTGCAGTTAAAGGTAGACAGATGAAACAAAATCAACCTTTAGAAATGTTACTAATAATCCCTAATACGTTGACACCAGCGTCAGTGATCAAAATATCGACAAAAGTTGCTCATAGAATAAGTTCACCTTAAACTACGATCAGTTGACTCAATTTATATAACGATCTCTGTAAGTACTTCTAGAGGAAACACAGTAAGTCACGCACCAGGAAATTACTCCTATAACTTCGCCTTACATATGTTGATCTTAGTTTTGAGAAAACCGGAGGGTTTAGGCAAATTTACTAAAGCATGGTTTTCGATTACGACCATGGAAGTACCAAAATTTCGGCTTCATGTTAAAATTCCCTTAAATTTAAAAAAAAAAGTTTATGTCACAATTTGTTGTTAATCCTCCTATTTAGTTGCTGTTTTTGATATTATATTTTGCATAAATACAATAAACAGAGGTCCTTTTTTACTAAATACTTGACCTTAATGCTTGCTTTTTACATGTTTGCAGGGGCGAAGTGCACGTCGGTGAGTTTGTGGAGGGATTGGGACCAGGTCAGTTGGTAGGCCGACAAGTCCTGGGAATGCCGTGTCTAGGTGAGATCCAACTTTCCTTCTTTGATCGAAAGGGTCACCTCGAGGTGGAGGTAATTCGTGCCCGCGGCCTACAGCAGAAGAACACCTCCAAGCCACTGCCCACGCCGTATGTCAAGCTCCATCTCCTCGAAGGCAAACAGTCTGTCGAGAAGATGCGAACAACTGCGCCTGCTCGCCGTACGCTAGATCCGCTCTTTCAGCAACAATTCTCCTTCTCTAATTCTTATAGAGAAAAAATACTCCAGGCAAGCAATTAAAAGTAAAATATGTTGAGGACATAGTCACTAGTTCTATCACCACAAGTGGGGTTTAAAACAAGGTACAAAATTTGTGGCATACGGTACCAGTCTCTCACATGAAACTAAATTGACATTCTGATGTTAAATACTAGATTGGGAAGTATTTGTTAGGCCCATTTTTTAGCTTTTATTAGACCTGATTTTGCAGTACAAAAGTAGACCGTAATTTGTCTTCTTTTTTGCTAAGTCTGTTTACTTTGTTTAGTAACATCACACAAAGGTAGTTTTTATCACGTGCATTGGAACAGGGTCTATGTACTTGGTGAATGCCTTCAATTAAAAAATCTTACAGTTACCTCACCCATCAACGTGCGTCCACACGCACAAATTACATTCGCTGGATATACTTAGCCAGAAAACAGCGGGCATTAATGTACCCATGTAGAACGTGCAGCGTGAAGCCGACTTTCCACAGCGGTTATGACCTGGAAAACCATTTCTTAATGGCAGTTGAATTAAGAAGGACTGACCTACTTGCAATTAAGGGAGGACGCTAAGTGTTGCAGACGTGGATTTAGGGGACTGAAGTGATTACATGCAAGGGATGCGTAAAGTGAGGTGCATTTGTTAACGAAAATAGTGCATCTTGGAGAAGGAAATAGGCGCAATTACGAAAAACGGCGGGCCTCATTTTACTAATGGCTAACTTAGCAATAGGAGAATGTGTTCCCGGTAAAAATATATGCGATTTTGTTTAGAAATATACCGCCATTATGGCCATGTGAACCTGATCTTGCTTCAAGTAGTTGGTATCTTCAAATTATAGTAGTGAAAGACGAACACTATTAGCTTTAGGCAAAGTCATTTATCTTAATAGAACATGTTGATCTGTTTGCTGCTTTCACTAGCTTTTTGCCCTTTTAGGTCAGCGTTTGGGGCGAATACGGCAGAATGGATAAGAAGGTATTTTTGGGGATGTGTGAGATCGTCCTAGATGACCTGGATCTCCGCTCCATAGTGTTTGGCTGGTACAAATTGTTTGGCATGATCGCAGCCACCGCCCAGCACCACAAGCAGGTGAGGCGACACAGCGGCGCCAGCAGCAACGCCATCAGTGCTGGAGCCCAACGGACTTCCAGTAGGCGTCACGCCTCCAAGACTCGTCAGTCTAGGGTTAAGAGCTAACCTCCAATTATTCGTGGGGCTCAATCAAATGTTAATTTCTTCCGTGGACCATATCAAAGTTTTCTGCATAATAATACATTGTACGAGGCTTTGAAAGAGTCGCCGTCTAACTACTCCACGTATTCGACACCCCAAATTTTCATATATGTACGTGTACATATTGCATCCTATTTTGTTTCTTAGAAAGTTATTCAAAGGAGCGATGTAATCCAGAACCTCCAAAGCCACACACCAGAAACCATTTAGCTTTATACATTCCTTTTCCCCTGTTCTCAAGGAAAAAATATACCCCCTAAATTTTGCGCACCAGCTTATGTACATGCATGTACACAGCATGAATGAGAAAGATATGTGTTCGCTGGAATGAAAAACAGCAAACAATTTATCAGCTTTCGTTCGGTTCTTCCAAGCTTGTGGTAGTGTGAAATTGCTAGTTGATTAGTGACTACTTAACTTTTAAAAAAGTAGCTGCGTGAGTAAAGTACAACTGAAATGTGCTTCGTAAGGGTGAATTCTTCATGTCGCATTTTTACTGATCGACGACTAAGTATTGTCAACTTGGTCACAAACAAGGAATGAAAACTCAAGGCGACATTCTTCACTACGGATGTGCAAATGTTGACGTGAGTCGGTGATACAGCTTAGAAGGTCTCCAATTAGAATAACATAAACAAATATCTGTCTGATCTGTACGATCTGTGAAAAGAGACCATGCATCAAATTCGGCACAAGAGTGTCTACACGTCGTCACTGTCAGGTGGCAGCTGTGCCGGAACAGCAGAGATACTTTCGGACACGACACAGCAAATGCTACCTAAGGTTAAGGACTTTAAGAATGCAGGAGAAATTTTCCCTTGGAGAATCAAGTTTCATTTGTCTGAAACAAAGCTCGGCATCAGTCGTGTGCATTTTCAACAGGTCTACACCATCAACAAAGCCTAGTTTAGTGATTATAGGATAGACGCGAGAAAGCAGTGATAGCGAAAATTCTGAGGGATTAGAGACAGACCAGACACTTTTATGTTACTTTCATGTTGGCTGCCATACATTCATACAACAATTTCCATCAAAAGCATCTATGACTAATCAAATAAACAGAGTTGTGATCAGATCCTCCAATCGGCTTTTTGAAAAAAAAAAGAACATTTACATACAATACAAAATTTGTTTATGTACTCTAACATGGCTAAGCTATCCAAATGGGTAAAATGCAACATTCACGTTTACCCGTGGCTTCCTGTTTAAAGCATCAAAACAAGTCAGTTAGAGGGGTCAAAAGTACCGATGTTGAGATACAGCATATTTACATGCAACAGGTGTCAACGGAATAGGCTTTCCCGCTAGCGCATGCAAAATTAGCTTCCTACTTTAAATTCCCCCCCGACCATCCTCCACAACTGTCCCTTTTCTGCTGCAATTGTTTAGAACAAGGACATTACTGAAGAACAAACCACCAACTTTCCACACAAATGCAAAGTAAGCCAGTCCAATACGTCCATTTAAAGTACATCAAGCGATCAAGAGAAGCCCTTTCAAGGAGGCTTAATGTGCTTAGGCGCTTAAGCAGCTTTACTTCAATTAAATTACTAACTTCAACCCTTCAACGGAGGGAGAGTGCGCCTATCCACAAGTTGTCTTCCGTTTCATATTTTAACGCAAGAGCTCATTTAGGTACCATAGATGGAACACCATACCACACCACGTCCACATACATGCAGAATCTGTGGTGATGAGCCCAGTGATGTGATTAGGAGCCTCACAATTGAGGAACGGACTAACACGAGGAAAACAAGTCTCTCTACAAATTGTACGCCACGGTGAACGAGCACCAATGTCTCCAAGATAACAACTAAGGTGCACACACACCAACCCGTGGATAATTATTTGATCAGATTGACTTCACCCAAGCTACAACTTTCAGGATAATACATCCACCTCAAGTTTGGAAGATTCCTAAACATCTAGGAGACAAACCGACCCCCGAAGGGACAAATGAAAATTCATAAGAACTTCAATGTTTCCGACAACAAACACTGACCACACGCTGACACCATTAGCGATAAAAAGTAGAAGTACGTGTGTGTATGTGTAGTGATTGAAAACAGGAAGTAGGCGTTCACGAAAAGGAAGCTTGCGCATCTTCGGAGTTCTACAAATCTAGTCGACGTCCATGTCCTCACCAGCAGCTGGTGCTTTTGGCTCCTTGCAATCATTGGGGAGATCGGTGGCGGACTTTGCTGAAGAGTTGGGAGTTGTGTCGTCCACATGGCCTTTATTTGTTTCCTCATTTTTCGTGCCACAATTTTCCGTGGAGGCAGCTGCTGGGGGTGGCGGTGGTGGAGCGGGCTTAGGCCTTGAAATTATTGGATTGCAGATCCTATCCAGTTCCTACAAGGTTAGGAGGGTAACCACGAATTCACCACAAATAGAAGTTGAGGCGACTTCCTCACAGGGCAGACGACTATGGTTTTTAAGTAGACCAGGTGCGCAGATGAAAAACAGCAGAGAAAAATCTAGGACATCCATCATCATGAAAACGTTGACAGGGAACTCCAAGTAGGGCCACCGAAGTGCATAAATCGGGCATTTCTGGTACTGACATCAGTACGAAGACGATAGTTCCAAAACGGTTTTGATTCAACTGTCAAATTCTTGGATTATTCATAAACGCGTAAACACCTTAACACTAGAAACTGGTAAGGGGTTTGTGCCGTAAGTTGCAACTAAACACGAATTAAATACCTCTAAAAAGAAAGTTTCAGAAAACTAGCACTGCTACCGTCTTAAAAAGATAACTTGACTGATAATATGAATCAGGAGAGCAAATAAAGGCGAAAGTGCCACGAATAAGTCATGTGACAATTTTATCAACTGGAATACAACCAGTACTCTCAAAACTGAAATAGTTCACCAATGGGTTCCTAATCGTTTGCCAGATTACGGATTACTGGAAAAATACATTACTGTACCAAAGTACTCAAATACCGGACTTATTACACAGGGGTTTCGGCCACTATTTAATCAACCATAATCCAGGTCGGTGGAGTCGGATCGTTGAGCCTTCAGGATGTTTTGGAAGCTCGAGACAAGTCACAAAAAACCACAAATGCACAGTAGCTTAATCTCAACTATACAAGCTAATTTATTAACAGACCAGGGGCATCGCGAACAATAGGCCACAAAAAGTTATCTCAAGGGTACTTACGTTTTTAGCGTTATAAAGATCCGCTGAAAAGACTGAAGGGTCCGAAGTCGGTTGCAGTTTTCCAACAGTTTCAAGGAAAGTTTGGAGGTATTGTTGTTTTGCACGTAGAGCATTCTCCACTTTGGTCATATCCTCCTTGCACAGGTGGTCGTAATTCGAATCACCAGAAGAATAGCTTTCCACAACCCTCTGGATGTTCTGAAATATAGGAAAAAAGCAAAGCATCAGTAACTTCCTTTAAGTCACCTAGTGATCAAAGTTGAGATGGGAGGGAAGTCGAAATACTTTCAGATGAAGCATCATCTAAAAAGCCGCAAATTCGAGAAGACACCAACAAGCGGAACCAAACCTTGTCCAAAATTCTTAAATTTGTGGGTTTTCTTCATTCTGTACCCAAATTTTCGCATCCAGCCCATGTGGTAGTGAATGCAAACATTGCGCAAAACCACTAAATACGGTACTTCACGTGAATTACAAGGGTGTCATTGCGTGCATGTGATGAAAAATATACGAGGACGGCAGTAGTGTCAAAATAGGGAATAGCTGGAATACAAACCTCGCAAGCATTTGAGAGCGCGCGGATAGCAAGAGGTCGACTCTCAAATTCAGAGAACCGGATACAAAAACGGTCGCCTGTTTGTTTTAGTGTGTCGAGGCGATTTGAAATAACTGATTTCTTTGCATCTTCGCCTTCACCATAGATCCAGTCTTCTGTCTCGTTGAGTAATTCCTTAAAGGAATCCCGTTCGGCCACGGTCGTGTGTTGCAGGAGACACGTCTCCAATTTGTCGCGCATTTCATACACGTAAGCTTCCAGGGCGTTCTTCAAATGTAGACGTTCACGTTCGATTTTATCGTGTTGATTTAGTTTAGCCTATGGACGAAAAACGAATTTCAGAGTTTGCTTTAACCTACAACCACTGAAGACTTAATCAAGAGAAAAGGACAATTTGCAATTTTTACTAGCTCTTAAAAGCCAACAATAAATGTATAAAGCCTACCTAGAGTCTAACAGCTATGTACTTTCGACTTCAGAAGACGTACCTAACGAACAAGCATTCCTATTGTTTCTATTTACTACAACAATGCTGCTTACTTGGAAATCTGTAAACTCGAGTAGCTGTTCATGAGACAAATGAGATGTTGTAGCCTCAACTGGAATATCGCGAGGTCGAAGAACAACCTTTTTTTGTTTGGCCGGCAACTGTTCGGCTCCAGTATCGGTTGTAGGTGCAACTGCCGCAGCAGGTGGTTTTGGTGGCTCATTCACAACTGATGCCTCGCTCACGGCATCCATTTTGGTTTGAGCTGTTACTGCACTTGCTGTAGTCTCTGCCTTCGAATCTTCAGCCGGAACATCAACCTCTTTTTCTACCCGGTCCATGATCACGGCATTGCTGATCGTAAAGATACCGTTGGAGTTTACCCGAGCCTTGATTCTTACTTGGCAAAGACTGTCCGGCGGCGTCGGGACCACATTAGTGATTTTAAAGGTCCCAATTGAGGGGTTGGCAATGTGAAGGCTTTCTGGGTTTGAATAACACGCTGTTAACGTAAAATCGCCCTTTCTGTAGAATTTGAGTTGCTTCGAGGAAGGAAAGTTCGCCAAATGCTTGAAAACTTCGGTTGTCGTGCCTTTGGCAAGTTCGCCAGCCCCATCATCATTGACAGACTCAAGTAACTCGTCAGTTGGCTTCCAATGAAGTGAAATTGAGTAAGGGCAAGCATCAACGATACTGAACTCACGAACTTTGAAAGCAGGTGAACAAATGGCTGCCTGGAAAACGACAAAGCGAGTTACATAAAGAGTTCAGATAGCGAGCGTGCCGAACGATTAAATTTAATACCTGAAGTGCGCAACCACGTGCAACAGCTTCGTCTGCGTTTAGAGTAGTACTGCCGTCCATCCCAAAAACATCTTTTACCAGCTTCTTTACGGCAGGGATGCGGGTGCCACCACCCACAAGTTCAACCGAATGGAGCTCTCCAGGTTTGAGATTTGATTGCGCGAGTGCCTTCTCCATAGTAGCTTTAATTCTAACTAGCAATGGCACACAAAGGGACTGCGAAATATAGTCAAGCACCTCGAGCTTACCTCGAAAAACTCGCGATTCATACTCGAAGAAATATCGGTATCGTCCATAAGGCACTCTACATTGATTGGAATTTTTGTCGAGTTTGTGCTCATAACCTTCTTCAAACGCTCACAACTTTTCAGTAGTCTTAAGCTCGCTTTTTTGTTGTGCAAGACCTAAGAATGAAAGTCTTTTCACAATGACTAACTTTAAGGTTGTACTTTTCTTCTATTTCTTTAGCGACGTGGTTAAAGATGCACATGTCGAAATCTCTACCACCGAGGCAGGGATCGCAAGCGGCAGAAACAACCTTCATTTTACCAGCGTTGAAGGAAATAACTGCAATTTGTAAGCTTGAATTTCCCAAGCTAACGAAAGCAACATTCCGTGGCGGTTGATCTACACTAGGCAGATCTTTTTTGGTAAGACCGTACGCGATACCAACTATGCGACTAAAGGGCACTGATACAAATTCTTACTAGCTGTAGTTTCACTAACTATTCGCATACAATTCAAGCCTGCTATTCTTGATGCATCAAGAAGTGCACGCCGCTCCCGATCGGTAAAGTAGGACGGAGCACTCAACACCACATCGACAATTTTTGTGCCAAGGTTCGCTTCAGCTATCTCAGCAAGTTTGTGGAGGTGCATTGCAAGAACCTGTTCGGGAAGCAGCACAACTGAATTCCCATTAATTTGTACCTAGGGACAATAAACTTTAGGTGGACAAACTTGAATTGCTGCCCTGCCATCACATCCGCAAACGATTTGATAGAACGCGAATTCCCTCTCAATCTTAACTATGGGATCGTTTCCCATTTTCCCAATTAGACGTGAAAAAGAGGTCACCGTGTTAGCAATATTGGTTACCATTTGCTGTTCGGCCGCTGAGCCGAGAAATCGGGACGCACCATTAAATGCAACACATGACCTAAAAATGTACGTTATAAATCTGGCTTACGGGGTACACCTATCGCTAACTTCATTCGCAATAATTTCAACTCCCCCTCCTTTCGCTGCCCCAATGTAACTTGTCACACTGCCAACATCAAAACCAACAACAGACGACGACATCATAAAAGACAGTCGAAGAACACTCTAGAAAAACTGAGCCACGCCTCGAAACGCCGCCAATCAAAAGCAATTAGCTTAAACACAGGACCAAATCCAAAAAAAGAAAACGAAGATTTCAAAAATTATTTGAAAAACCCTTATCTTTGATTGCCGTTATCATGTAAACAATCCTAACTAAAAAAATTTTAGTTTTATTACATCAAACATCATTATAGTCTTTAACAACATGAGAAAAATATTATACAATTCCAAATGTATTGAAAATTTCATACTTTTCAAAATGCACACAAATTACAAAATTTTTCAAGTACCTTTGTGGCTGTGACTCTGAATGTTTCTTGCGTCAAGTGAATTAAATTCATCGTCAGTAGAACTAGTGATACCTAGCATTTAAGGCAGCTCAATGTATTTGTATATCTAATGCGACTTTTGTAGGTATAGCACACATGTAAAATGGAAAATATTTTTTTTCCGCGTAATCAAGTGTCTCCACGATTACCAGCAATAAAATTTAACCATGAATGTCAGGCATCCCAATAGGAATAGTAGCACTGACTATGGAACATTAACATAGATAGGTGCTAGGCTGTGGAATCGTGATACATGCATTCCTTCCGTTTTCGTGCAACAAAATCCCTGCAGCGCATCATTTTGAATCGATTGTGTTAAAACTTAGGCAAATACCCTCTTGATAAAATGGATTTAAAAAGTGGTTGAATGGACGCGTTTTACCGACTCTAAGACTTACTTTGCCGTTCGACCTTGAAGGTCCAATTGGTATGCATTCACTAAAACCTGATTTATTGCAGCTAAACAGGTTATAACGAAATGCGTTTTGTCGAAATCAGGCTTCGATTATCTCAAGGACTATTCATTTAATGGGATTTATTAAGTTTTTACACACCTTACCTTACTAGATATGGATATTGATGATGCTGCGCGGCATTCTTCTTCTATTGGTCGGGGCTTATCAACAGCTGACCTCTGCTTCCACGATGCCGAAAAAGTTCGGAACAAATTCGAAATCACAAGAAGCCCGTGAAAGACGAGAAACCACGAAAGAACTTCAGAAAGCAAAGCATGCTGAGGCTGAAGAAGCCGCTTTTTGGGAAGACAACGACAAGCATGTCAATCGTAAGCTTCAAAGAAAGGTAATCTTTTAATTCCCCTCAAACGCCTTAGGATGAACGAGAAGCCAAGCGGCTTGAGGCTATTGAGAAAAAGCAACAGCTCAGAAAACTTCATGATGCTGAAATGAACAGCTTACAAGGTTGTAAATCTAAGCCTGCATCTCAAACTGCAAGTAAACTTACGCAGTCTCAGATAGCTGCTGCGCGTCAAAGGCTGAACGAACAGTTAGCTTCCCTAAATTCGAAGAAGGATGTTGAGAAACCCACTCCATTAATGAAGAATCCAAATTTGGATGAGGTTATTGTTGTAGAAGCAAGAACGGTCGAGGACGCCATTGAGGCATTGAAGTAAGTAAATTTCCTAACTTTGTGCTTCTGGTTCCCGGATTTCGTCACCACTCAAATGGCGTCACTGGTCAGGCTATTTCTTTGCCACCTACCGCATGAAAACGGCACTAATAACCACGAAACCGAACCCGTTGTAAATCCCGCCTTGACTGACTTATCCAAGTCTCAGTGCGCGCCGACATTCCACCAAACCTTTTTCTCTAAAAGCTTTTTCAATTAGATAACTCACAGGTTTTGTTTGCTCTTTGTTGGCTTCGTTTAACCAGACATCGTTTTTGCGTTATATATTTATGTGTTTCATCAATTTATCCTTACTTTAATTTATACACCCTCCGCTTTTAACTAACATTAGTAAATGTCTTTTCGAGGATTAACAATGATCCGACTGATCGGCATCCGGAGAAACGTCTAAAAGCAGCATACCTAGCCTACGAGGAGAGGATGTTGCCAGTGCTCCGCGAAGAGAATCCGGGAATGCGACTGTCACAGCTCAAACAAATGGCTTTCAAAAATTTTCAGACAGCACCGGAAAATCCTAACAACCAGGGGCATAAGCGGTACAATGAGAAGTAAATGGCGCTATCCAGCCCATTATCCCTTCTTCTTCGTTAAACCTTCACGATTTGCGCACCAGACTCAATTACACTACAATGTACATGGGAGAATTATTTGTCTAAATAGTATTTCGATCTTTTCTGTACATCAGCGGTTACCTGGCTACAACAATCTTACCTCTAAATACATTACACCCCTTCCGGTGAGCGCAAGCAATAACATTTACTCAACGGGATGAAGTTGTGAATATCCTCTTTTTTTCATTTTACAGATAAAGCTGAAATCTTTGCAATAATTGTTTAATCTTTGCGCGGTAGTAGACGTGTGTCCCCAGTCGAAAGACGAGTGGTGTTTACTTAAGGCTGTCTTCGTCGTGAAAATGTATTAGTTGGTTCGTGTCGACTTCAGTTAGGAGGCACTGAGCCCGTGGTCTTGGTCCTTCATTATATGATGCAGTATGTGAAGCAGGTTCCGTTATTTCACCACCGCCCATGGGTTCCTAAAATGCAACACAATGTATTCCAAGTCTCTTGACTTACTATGCTCATTACTGTCACCAAAACTTACGCTTTGAAATGCATGTGTCATAACACATTCTGGTTGATAAGTCGGGGGGAAAGGACGCAGGGTTTCGCCAACATGATCTGACGCCCTCGCTGGATCCTCAGTGAGACATCTTTTGCGCCATGGTAGGAAGGCTGGCAACCAAGCCTTTTGAGAGAACGCCTCAAAGCCTTCAGGTAATGGCTCCGATGGTTTATTTTGGCCATCTGGCACCTTGGCCGCACCGGTTATCCCGATCGCCGACTTACTCTCTGCTAACTGACTTCCAACAGTTTTGTCAAACGTGACCTCACCTCTTTCCTTAAGCGAGACGAGCTCGTCCCCTTGTCCATCAAAAGAGGAAAGATGACTTACAACAGCGGAAGGTACCAGATATTTGCAGTCAAGCGTCATAAGCTCATTGCCAAAGTTTAGATTCGTTTTGGGTCGCATTCGGGCGCGTTGTTCATGCATAAGCATCCACTGACGTCGTGTTGTCGTAAATGTCTCTAGCTCACATACAGAAGGTGCTTCGAGGGACACGCCAAAGGCATTAGGCCATCCAGGAGGACGGAGGTCCTCCCCATAGTTTTCTTCGTTGCTCCACCTAGGTGTATCTGCGGGGTCCTGGCCATCTACACCAACGCACGAATCCGCCATTGTAGATAGATTTTCCTCTGATACGAATATCTGACCAGTAGATCTGCGATGGTGCTCTCGTTCATCCACGTAATAGCTTCTAGCGCCTCCACTCTGCAGCCCAATGGGCTCGTAAGTATGATCATAGTAACATCTGGTGGGGGGCGAGGCGGATGCGTACGATGGACGGCAACAAAGGGGACAGAATAACTCCATATGAGATGCGGTGTAGTAGAGGTTTGGTCGGTGATATGCAACGAGTGTAGATAAAGGGATTCGCAGAAAAGAGTGCCTTGGGTCGTATGTAGGTGCTACTGATGAATTACAATATCCTGAACAAATGGCCATCCGCGCAGTTTCCTGGCAGTCAGTTTCGGTGCTAAAATGTTTGTCACACGAAGCAAGCACGACTGACGGCGAAGAGCCCACTTTCTGATCAAATTTTGAGGTCTCTGCGACCAATCGAGACATTTCTGTAAGTAAAACAGGTAAAATCGATGTGTGCAATGAAATTGAGAAGACGCGATCTGTATCTGGGCTTCGCAGCCAATTAAAATTAGCCGAAAAAGCAAAAATCCATCAAGAAGTGTTAGCGGACCTCCTTAAAGGCACACGACATAGACACACACACACACACACACCCAGCCAATAAACGGGATATTTGGGAGAACTAGAATAACGCTGAACCAATGTTCAAACACTCGAGCAGACGCAAGATTTGGCAGTTGGCTCAAGACTATGTGCTGCCACTTCACCGAAATCGGATTAAATGTGCCGTCTAACAATAAGTGAAAACAAGATTCGTAGATTTTGATTTAACAAGTAAAATTGCTTCGACCACAGCATCAGAAATTCAGCAATGTATTAGGATTTCTAGAACTAGGCAATAGGTGTTTGCATGACATGAGGCCCAGAATCTACAAGGAATGTTGTTACAAAGCCTACCCTAAAATGAGGAAAGGTTCCTAATCTGCCTGTAATAATCAAAATATCGTCGAAATAGCTAGCCTCGCGAGTCATCTGAAATACTTCAAGCAAACGTTGGATGTAGAGATCGAAAGGTGTGATGAGACAGAACGAATCTGACAAATGAAGCAAAATTTTAGTCCACAACTTAACCTCAAAACTGTCCATTGTCTGATTTTGATTCGGAAAAGTAAACAAAGCGCGGTTATGTGGATAGTGTTTGCTGCTGGTTTCATCGAATTCTAGGAATGGACCAAGTTTCGGCTTAATGTGTTAATAAATACTGAACAATATCGGGGCCTGTAAGACAGATTTTATGCAAATGAGCACACATTTTTCATCTGCTTTGAAAGCCAACGTACGAGACGCATTTTAATGGGTGTGGAGAGCAGATCCAGATTCAGGAAGTATTAAAATGTGATAGAAAGTGCAGTTTAATTAAATTAGATTCATGAAAATTAAAACCAATGCGAAGTAAGAGCGAGCAACTAACTTGAACCTTGCAGAATAAATTAGGAAATTTGTGACATTTATTGGGGCCACGTTATTCCAGGATTATTCGCGGTGTGCACACAATAAGACACAACAAGTCACACAAATCTGGTTCATAGAGCATAAAAAAAACAACACAACTGGAAGAAAGCGAAAAGCATTCCCATCAACAAAATTTTAAGCTTATAATGCACAAATAAAACTACAGGGAGTGACGTTTATGAGAATGTTAGGTCACTGCTAAAACAGAAAATATCGCCGAGACATGACGCTGAAATCGTCAAATTAAATCCGTGCACAAATGAGAACACTTGGAAAAGGGAATTACAGTATTCGCTAACAAATCCCAGGTCAGAATGTGGTTTCTAACAACTTTCCAAAAAAATCTCTGTTTGGTACGAAAATGACTAAATTAGATTAAAAGTAGTCGAAAACAATTTTTGTGTACACACACACACACACACACGCAACACACAGAAAGGATCGTCAGAGCTCCGTGTCTGCTCGCCGCTTGGAAATCACTCTCTATAAAATACAACTTGAGATCAAACAGCTGGGATCCAAAAGAGATTACACAGAGCCTCCAGTTATAAAAATGACGACCACCTCCCAGTCACACCTACCATCATCAAAGTACGATCCTTTTTGGGAGAGGCGATCCACACTGGATCCTAAAGGAGGAAAATCGGCATCACCGAAGTACTCCGCAGCAGGTGAAGAGGAAGTTTCAGGCTTAATGACTGGAGTCCAAGGTGAAACTTCAGTTCGATGATGGCCACCCTCCCCTTCTGTGTTGACATTGCCGAAGAAAAGACCTGGAATTGGATCCTTCCATTGATCTGGAGAGTGGGGCCCAGCGAGAGAGGACTTCCGAGTTTGCCGGGCCACGACTGGTGTTCCTGGGGTGTTAAGAGGGTTCGATGCGGCAATCTTCCTGGATGCCTTCCTTAATTTGGCTGAAAAAATAATTTGTTGGAAGTAGGCATCTACAGACACTCTCATTTTGGCTGTGGCAGAAAAGGCATGAAGTGATCAAATTTAGGGGATGCATAACGTCAAGGCACCAAAGCCTGCTATGTAAGACCTCGAGTTCAACGTTCTCTTGACTTAATATCTGGTCTCATATTAGAGCTCAACATAATCGTCCCAGACTGGGGTTTTTCGTCCACAAACTGCCTTCGAATTTCTTGCAGGCAACACATTGCTCTTGGATGCAAATAGAAATGTCACCGAAGCATCTAAACCTAAATTATCCAAGTCAACATTCAAGGGGCAAGATTAAGCTAGACATCCGACACTTCAAGTTTCCGCCTTCAGTCGGTGAGGAAGCGCATGTAATAGATGCGTTAGTGATAGGACAATAGATTGCAAAAATCGAAATACAATATTGACCAACAGGTAGAAGAGAGGACTGCTCCACCTCAAATGCAATCATTTGGACTTAGGGAGCTAGAATAAAGCCATCCAAAAGCTATGTATTACGAACAAAAAAGCTTGGGGAATCGTTTTACCTGCGCTATCCGCGGTGAAAAGAGACGGTGACTTTTGTTTGGAGCTGAAACAAATACAAAACAACGATGTAATAATGGATTAAACTGCACATGTTATTGCAAAACATCCGCAAAGCTCGACATTCCCTTGACAGGATATTTACCGTATGAAAACAGATTGAAATAAGTCAGCTTCGATACAAACTCAGAGGTAATCTGACAAATTAAAGCATTGGCTAGGCAATGGCAATGTGAGCACTTCAGTTTATCTTGAAACAAACGTCGATTAAGATGATTAGCCATGGCTGCTAGAAGATGACCTGCGAGGACTAAGTTAGCCAACGTGTGCGAAGAATTTGTGCCTTGAGCCTAACTCGGTGAACAGCTACATGCCGGACATGAAAATAGATATTGCGTGCAGATTCTAATTACGCGTAAATCGAATTCATACGCTTTAGATTCTCTTAATAAGCTGAATCGTTGGCAAGATGACTTGGTCGAACTCTGTGGTGGTAGGGCGGCAACCACCGGTGATTTTGGACGGTGTGCGGGTGTATTAAGTGGTAGCTGATGGGACAGCTTTGGTTTTTTCACACCTCTGGAAGCAGACTCCACCTTGATGCTTTCCATAATGAGGACCGGTGGGTGAGACGGAGTGGGGGTCCGTGATGTCTGCGTCAATCCTATTGTGTTTGATTTGACGGATCGTGTCCTGGAACTTGATGCAGCTATGACCGACGAGAAAGCGCGTTTTTTCGGCAACACTTCAAACTCCGAAAGGCAAGAGGCTGAATGATTGTCCTTAGGTCCACCACTCCGTGGTTTCGCGCAACCTCCAACAACGGGCAGCACCAACAAACTCGCGGAGCTGAAGGTTAAAAGATGCAGGCAGGTTTGAGTTATAGTACAAGGCCTATGCAAATATCCATTCAGAAGCAACGACGACCGACAACATTCCGCACAAAAATCAACTTAATCCCATACCCTATTCTGCCTTACCAAGCTTATCAACGGGCCAATACATTTCAAAATGAGGATTCACATGTCGATATATTTTTCACGCTCACAGTTTCTTCATCACTGGGGCAAAAATGGAGCATAATAAAACAAAAAAAACTTGGATGTTAGAACACGGCCTACTTTAGTCCGCTAAAGCAACCCTTCTACATCAGCCGGACAATGGCAATTCTAGCGACTTGCTTCCTCGAAATATACAGTTACCTCCATGAAACGATCTAGCTTGTGGAGGGAGCCTTCGCTCGCAAACTATCTCATGAATTGATAAACCGCTGTCAGACGATAGCACATTTTACAGTAAAAAAAGCATTGTGAGTAATGCGACACGAAAGGGGATAAGAGAAGTCGGGCTACACAAAGTCCCACGAATAAGGCACGGTACACCAGTGGTTTCAGCCAGGTCTCATATTACTTCCAATAAAATACGCATTTTCTACAAAAGGAAATCGTACAAGTTTAAGATAAACGACCTTTTGGCAAAATACTTTGAGTACCTGGTGTTATCTCCACTACCATTTGCATTGTTTGCTGTCCATTTGACCAAAGCATCATTATTGGATTTGACAGACATTTGCTTTGAAGGCTACGAAGAAGAGTGAAAAATGAATAAAGCAGATAGAAAAGGCTCAGCGCATAAAGGACTAAAACAGGGATTGTTTGATTTTTGTGTTTCTAAACCTACCACACACAATATTTTAGCACATGCAAATAATTTTGAATGATGATAAGCGCAAACATGGCGGTCAAAATATAAAGTACAATGCGACGTAAAAATTACTCACCCGCTTGGTGTCATCGACACACTTTCGTGAAATCGAAACACCACTACTTTTGTCAGCGCTATCGACATGCCTGATTTGACTTAGGAAATTCTGTGTTGATGAAGAGGTATCAACAAATGTCTTGGGTACTCTTTGAGTAGAGACTTTGTTGGTTTGACCAACGCTAATGATTCGTCTCTTGATGGCGAAAAATGTGTTGCTGAGGCGATTTCCCAGTAGCGAGAGATTCAGCACCAACGGCCAGTAAATCGCCTTTCCCAGACTGTTCAAAGCTGTTTGGAAAAGGCGTACAATAGGTTTAGTGATGCACCTGACAGCTATACCGGCGGAATTTCCGGAATGGCACTGATCCCCCAGCAAAAACGTGGATGGTCGACGGAACCGATGACGACAGATAGCATCATCTGCCGCCGCCATAGAAAGAGGTTGATGATTTGTGACTAATAACGGAAAGTAAGACGAAAGGCAACCCAAAGACAACTGCTGACGATCTTGTCTAGGAGGGAGGCTGAAACTGAATAACTGAGAGGGTGGACGTTGGTCTGGGTCTAAGTTCAAATGTTGTGGTGTGGGCTGCCTGAAATTCTCCTGAAGAGACTGAAGACGAATTGCATCGAAGTAAGCGGCCACGAAAATTCCTACTATGTTTGAGGTGAAAACAAACAAAAGGATGGACCTAAAATATAGGAAAGTGCCGCTCATCATTCACCTTAAGCTATCATTAAAATATGACCTATTTACGTATAAAACAATCCAGGTAATGTAGAAACAATAATAACTTTTATGAAATGGCAGTTTATAATTTCCACATCGAAGTAAAATCGTGCCTGGTACCAAAGTTTGAACATTAAAAATGGCCTTTATGCGATACATGCACAATCGACAGGAGGACGGTCACTACCTACATAAACGCAACGAGGTTAAAAAATATTCGGGTTCAAGATTCACAAGGAAAATTGATTGAATGATTTGGTAAAAGTTCGGTTTCCAAAAATGGCACTGTTTTCATTGTGCATGACTTCAGTCAGCGATTTTTTATTCTAAAATTTGGCAGATGTCACGTTTACCTTTCTTGAGAAATTGTACGAGAACATGTTCGCAGCTATTAATTTAGGATCCAGTCTAACATCACGAGTTTTACTACTGTACTTCTGTGAGGGCATAAAAGCATCTGAAGGTCAAAAAGAGACTCGTGGAATTTGGGCTTTTGATTACTTAAAAAAACTTTGATCACCCTTAAGTAAAAAATCTTCAGAACGGAGCAAATAAACTAGACATAACACAAGCGTTTTGCTGCGGTGAAGCATTACGCCAAGACACCATATAAAGTTTTAAATATACCTGTCATGAATAGGGAGGAAATAAAAGAACAGTGGAAAAAAACTGCCGACTGGCTGAATTCGCCAGCAACCATTGCACCGTGTTATTAAATACAGTTGGGAACAAACCAAGTAATGCAGTCGTTCTAGGTTCTCGGCCTCACAATGATACTGTTTCAACTACAACTTCGTTCTGTCGGATGACATAGACCAGCAACTTTTGATAGCACAACTAAGAAGAGCATCACAAGTGGACTTTAAAGAGACAAAAGCCTAGACTCAAAAATGGCGGAAGAAAATTTAAGCATGGTGTCAGAAATCAAGAAAGTAAGGTCAATACTTAAATTAGTGATCTTAAATAGGAGGCTGGGAAACAGCACTCCGTCGACACCAGTCTTAAGTATAACTTAGCCCTGGACCAAAAAAGCATTGAATGTAGGGTGAATAGATAATCAGAATATCAAATAGTTAAAAAACTAGTCTTTAAGCCTCTGGTGGACTTCTTACCAAAGATTATCCTGAAATGGGGGCTGAATGAGCGAGCTGTGACATAATTTTGCCAAAGACGGCGAAACTTTGGCGGTCAATAGTACAGGATCCAACTGAAAAACAGAACATCTATTAGTGTCTGTATCACGTCCCATTGAATTGTGGACAGACGACTCCAGCCTCGGCGTCGGCTTACTGTTACACACAGTAAGGTCGGTAGAAGGCATCTGCAGAGAGGCGAACAAACAGAGCTCGACATTTGCCTCCGTGCGTAAAAAATCGGGTGAGTAAGTCACTTCAAACCACCGCTGTTCACCAGGTTTCAACTGAAATACCTGAAATGCTTTACCACCTGTCTTATGTTGCTTCAGATTCATGGAATCAGTGCTGATTGCACTGAGATTGACGGTGAAACCATCCAAATGAAGATTGCACTGACCCCAAGCAGATTTGGACGAAGACTGAACAACACTACCAGGTCGCTTCAAGCCGACACGCAGAACCCAAACGGGTAGAGAACCGGAGTTGCGTAATGCGATGCAACGCGAAAGAACGAGACCGGAGATAAATTCAGAGGAGAAAATCGGCACTCCGTTTTCATCAACAGCCCAGGATAATTGATGCGGAGCCACACGACGGGAAACATCAACAGGAGTTGCAGAATAACGGAGGTTAAACAGGGACGAAAGTTTAAAGTTTTTCAAAAGGCGAGCAATTGATGGGTGGGCACGAATAGATCCATCGGCACCTAAAAAACCCAAGTAGAACCACAAGATCCACAACCGGTAAATACGATGCATAGAGTTTCCGGTGCATTAAAATTAGAAAATTGTAAATAACTTCTTATTTGCTGGGAACGTGACCACAAGCCACGTATAATAAGAGTGATGATTTAGTATTTCCAATTTAAGCTCCCGTATGCAGTTGCAGCCGACAGAAAGGATGTTTTGAAAGTGGCCCTCCGTAAACCGATCAAATAAACATTAAAACACTATTCTTCGAAGCCCACAACCGTTCACAATGTATTGCCAACAATAATCCACCCTAGCAAAACGGCTTTCAAGATGGCTAAGTTTAAAAAAAAACAGGCTAACTGGACATCAGGAAATACAGGACAAAAATAATTTCGGGAAAAATACTAAATTTCACCAGACTACAAAACACCGAGTTTTAAAGTCTGCTGTGACTCCCCAATTGCAACCAATAAATTCCAAAATCGATTCCATGTGAGCCTAAACTGACCTATCAAGTGGGGATTTCATTTAATTTAGCCCAAGGACTCACTTTCGACACTAGACGCACGACGACCAAGAAAAAAAATCCGGAACGTGAGTTGACTAAATTGATCAGCATCTTTTAATAAAACTTGTGAATCTAACTAGACTAGGAAAAATCCAGCTGCGGGAACGAAACAAACCCATAAAAATGTGGAAATACAGCAGTATTCCATGAAGACATGTATCATGCAAATTTGAAGGACAATAGTAAAAAGGCCGGGTTTCTAAAGTATCAACAGAAGACAAACAAGGGTTAACATTAGTCAATTTTGTAGAAAAGAGGAGCATTAAACCCTCTGACTCAGTTATTTCAATACTTTATGTTTATCAGTGAAATCTGACATTAACCCAAAAGTCGGATTACGCGATGATGGAGGATACTTACATAAAGACCTGAGGAGGCCTTCGTGGAAGACAAACGGTAAAGTCGCTCCATATGGTGAGGTCTTATTGCGTGGCATCATAGAGACACGGCATAACGACAGGTTCGCTCCGTTTGATACAGTAGTTGAGCAAAGCAATTCGTTACTGACTGGGCGAAGGTTGTAGCGGGCAATGTCCACACTTCCAGCCAGTGATGCAGATTTGCAGGTGGGATTAGACAGAGAGGGGTTGAAATTTGCGGCGGCATCGTGGGCCGAGCCGGTGGCAGTGGGGAAGTTAACAAGAGTCTGTTCAACTCGAGTGGACTGTGAAAAGGATTCGGTGGAGAGCAAACCGCTATGCAACTCGAGAATGGATGTATCTGCAACAGCACGCAGTAGAACTGCCTCTAGAGAGGTAAGGTTGTTTCGAAGAAGTAAGATGGAATGGTCGAATGTAAAGATATCGTTACTAGTACTATTAGCAGAACCGTTGTGAAAAGCCCCAGGCCTAAAAGTAACAGAGTAGGTCGCGTAACCACTGTTTGGCGGGAGGACATAAACAGAACAGCAAGTAGGAAGAACAGCATGCTGGAGGCCATGGTCATAAAGAACAGAGCGTAGAGACGCCAAGGAATCTTCGCCAAAAGTGTTCCCATCCACATGTAAAGTGAAGCGGCCAGTTCGTTGTGAGGGATGCTGTGGGACCGAAATTAAAAGAAACAATGCTCAAATTTTCTGCTTTAAGTAGCTTCATAAATACTTAACCTTATCAGAATCCATATAAAACACTACGCAAGAAAATTGTACAACTGACGAGAAATGTGATTAATATTTTAAAATGTCGTGAATGACGGCAGTTTCCCAGTTTTTGAGCGGCCACTTATGTACGAATTCCTAAACGTCTTGTCAGTATGGATATGCGAAACAAAATCATAGACCTTGCTTAACATCTTATTTATAAACCAAAACACAAGGGCAATTCGCGCGAAGTAGGAAGAGGCATATTTTGAATGCTTTAAGAACGTCTGGTTATGCTGTGAAACAGAAGTCGAGTGCAAGTGACTGATTTTTGTTTCAGACAACCAATTCAGTTGCAAGCACTAGGCCAAAAAACGACGCAAAAGTATACCCGTGGGAACCGCAACAATTCATCGGGTAATTGGGCCGCACGGAAAAGTTCTTCAGACAGCAACGGCATTTGTCGGATCATTTCGTTGTAATCCATACTCGCGGGAAGCAGGTCATCCAGCAATAATGCCTGTATGAATAAAGGTCTCTCCGATGGATTCCTAAAAGTCAAAAGGCACGTGACCTCTTTTGTAGCAAAATCCTGTATACGCAGTTGAGCCAGGCCCCCCGATTGCCCAAGGTTGAATTCTAACTGGCACGTGTGCAGCGGTGCCTCCTTTGTTTTGAGCGGTTTGAACACACGGGGGGAGGCAGAGGGGGCAAGAAGTCGAGGCCAAGTGAGTTGGACAGTAAGCTGACCGAAAAACGGAGCCTCTTCTACAGAGGCATGGAGAGCAAGTTTGCTGGACATTCGACACTGTTCAGTTGGTTTACTTAGCAGTTGAGGTGTTCCTACGGTAGCACCATGAATGCGCTCAGTTAAAGAGTGCCAAGCGGTTCGAAGTCGGGCGAAAATATCCGCGGAGAAACGAAGACCTGGAACAAATGGAATGCCAGAAAGGGGAGCGGGTACAGAGCCCACATGCAAAACACCGTCATCTCTGGAGAATGGGAAAAAAATAGTTGCGAACCAATGCCCTCCTAAAAAAGCAAGGAAATGACTATGGAAAAATATATTAAATTGAAACAGCGGTTAAAATGTCAGTGATGTGAAGTACGACGATCAGGCGTTGGATGTCAACTAGGCACAGAAGCAGTACATGTGTCAAGCCTAACACTCGTAGCAATAAACGGCGATAGAAATTGACCACAGTTGCAACAAAACAGAATTGTGCTTAAACGACTCGAAAATTTCATTTGCCTTAAGACAAAATTCAAACCATGACAAATAAGTCAAAAGGCCGACTAAATCAGCAATATAAAGTAATTTCAAAAAAGGGACAAATGAAAGACGTCATTTCATTGTAAGTCAATGCTTACTGAATTAGAAGAAACACAACAAGCAAAAAAGAGCCTCAGAAAATGAACCAGTTACACACGTTTACCAGTGGCATTTTCGGCAATAAAAAGGTCGAGGAAATAATCACTTTACTCAAATGACAGAATAGTGGGCACCTTTGGAACTTCCGAGCTCAAAACCGGAGTAGCAAATGGGGATGTCAGGAGGTGGGTTTTCGGTGAAGACGTCACTGCACCCAAAAGAAGTATTGATTGAGACTGACCCAATAAGTGTTGTCTGACGTGGTTCAAGGCTAAGAGCCTTTCGTCCATTGCTACCATTGGAAAGCACTTCATGCTGGTAGGCGAGGTCAACGTGGAATTTAGGAAAACCTCGATTCGAGAAGAGGAAGACCGTCGACAGGTCAACAACACTGTCATAACTGTTATGCACCAAAAGGTTCCGTAAAATCGATGCCCCCTGAAAGAAGAAGTAAATGGATAGCCATTACAAGGAAAAAAGGGCAGGACGTTTGTGACCATAGCGATAGATCGATATTTTTAGCTGGCAACAACTTAGGTTATCTAGATAACACAACTCAAATCAAGGGCAAATATCAAAACCCATTCCAAAACCAAGTTCGGCTTTTAGAGCAGGCACATAGTATAGTTATCTTAGAATAACTATAGATTCCATAAACAATTAGGGAATATTAAGTAATCGTTGATAGGGCAGTGATTGGAGGAAAACTACATAGGACCCATATCTGTACACAAATAGTAAAACCAGGTTAGGTATCAGGGGATTAAATAACGCAAGCCTGGGTAAAAAATCCCGAGTTCATCGCAGTGAGTAGCTAAGCTTTCAAATGGCCGCGTTTCGTAAGGGCGAAGCATTAAACCACCTTAAGCTCAACCACGTATTGATAAGTTTAAGCTTAGAAATGCAGGACAGAAGTGGAGCCACAAGGATGGGCCCCTGAGACGCAAATTTAAGATGGTTGAAGTGAATTTATACTGAAAGTCTGGGCCCATTGTATTGGGTTGAGGGACAAGTCATTGAAGTTAGTTAATAAATCCGATGTCCTTCTATTTAGGAACATTAAATTGGACTTGTAGACTGAGAGAAGTGCATTTTCGCCATTTTCCGATACTTGCATCTAATTGCGGTGAGTGAAATGTGGTAGTAACCAAACCTGCTCGTGAATATTTGCTGCGTACGGAGATGCCATGCCAAAAAGGATATCTGGAAGGCGATTTTCAAGTTTCAAAAAGAATAATTTTAAACCCACTGACGAATGACTTTCTGGTCACCCTCATCAAGTTTAATGAAACTCAATCGGATTATTTTCACAAAGGAAAAGCGTGTTAATCAACCATACAGGATTGAACAGTCGATGCACAACCAAAAGCCTATTGTGAATCACCTTCAGTCGGTGGGGATTCTAAAAATTCAGCACCCCTTTGAAGGAAAACAAACTATAGCGTTCTACGTCTGTTGCCAAATTAATTATCCGCCACAGTTCGACTTGTTCAGATAGTCCTTCGGCGCACCATAATTGGAGTCGAAAATTGTCGTATTTATGTCATCTTGCATTATAGTCTTTGCAAATAACCAAACAGGCAATGCACACCCCCATGTTTAGACGATTCTACTTGACAAAGCGATACAGAGAAAGCGATCTCACTGAAGTTATGGCATCATCCTGAAATATGATAGGTCCAGTTCTTACATTTCACCGACTACTTCTTTTAGTGGCAATCTAAATTAACCCCTTATTCATTCATCGAGAAGGTATCTTTATTTACTGAGTTGAGGAACCGGTCATTACGGTTCACGTCGCCAACCACATAAGCCGCAATACAACCTCTCAATTGTGAAGTCCAGCTACATTCTTCACATTCACGAAACTTCGTTCTATTGAATTATCATTCCTTCTAATAACAATCCAGCAAGTCGCAATAGGTTACGCTCAGTATTGACGGTGGTTCTAAAAACAAGGCTAGATGAGATTTTGGGTGTGAACGTTCAAACGTTTTTTGCACAGCCAGCGAAAAACTTGTTGACAGTTGAAAATGATGACAAAATCTACAGTAGTGACTTAAGTGCTCTTTGTTATCGATCGAAATCCACTTTTATTTTGCGTACTGTATATATTTAATAAACTGTCAACCCAGTGACGAACCCTGTGTATTTAAATTCAACCATGCTGGTGTTTATGGGGAGCCCTAAGAAGAATAAAGCAACGGTGATAATTTGCAGAACCTATGACCTTGACAAATTGAAAAGTACTGGGAGCGGAAAGCTACACTGATTGAAGAAAAGGTGCGACACTCACAGGAAATGCAGAGCCCAGATGAAAGACAGCGGGTTTCAACGTCAATGAACCAAGCGAAGCGCGAAACTCCAATAACTTCACGGTTGACTAAAAGGGGGAAAAGCAGAGTTAATAATTGACATTTTAAATCTGCAGTATAAACAGTGGAATATATATAATGATATTAATACACAAATATCGATTGAGAAGGACTTCATAATATACTATTTTATCGAAATAAAACCACCACAGCTTCCGTTATAATTTACCAATCGTAGCAAATCCATAACCAAAATCTAGCCAAATCAGATGGACTTCTACAGATTGGGAATGCCCACAAAAATCAACTCAAGGACGGCTAAAATGCATAAAATATAACCAGCTGTGTCGATAAATCCACGAAAAAAGCCCGAGTGTTCAATTTTGCAACCTAAGATAGCGCATGGAGTTTATTTTTTTACGATCTTTTAACCGAGGTTATCTTGGTCAGAAATGAGACGGCTTCCATCGCATTCGGTACAACGATCACCTTAGTGTCACACTTTCTTCCTCTTCATCAAGCAAGTTTACTCAAATATGGATTTTGTTTAGATCCACCAAGTTGATTAACAAGCCACAGAGTTTAATGCTTTGCAGAACAAAAACTTGTACTTCTGGACATTTTATCATCCAAGAAATGACGATGAGCTGGATTGCGAAGGAGCTTTCGTTTATAAAATACCAAACTATTAAACTTAAATCATGTTCGCGAATACACACTCCTAATCTGCTACAGGTCAGTCTTGCACACACAAAGGTACTTTCCAGTCCATTTAAGCATACCTGATTGCAAAAACAGAATTAAGATGATGTAAAAACAGAAACTCACAGCAAGGTTAGATTCAACTACCATAGTCCACTGTAATACAGAATCGGCTTTAGGATGACTGAATTTCAAAGAGAAATGAGACAATGCTGACGGTTGCAGGGTATACTAAAGCCGAAAAACAAACAAGGCAAATGATAGGTTAAGGCATTTTAAGAACAATTTAGCTGTGTTTTACGCATGTAAATGTCTAAAAGGTTAAAAAACGACAAAAGAGTAATTGCACAATATCCATCGACCTGAAAATTGAGAAATGATGACGAAACCACAACAACTTGTATAGTTATTATAAATTTCGTCAAATTGTTGCGCTTAAATGCATAAAATCAAAGGCGAAAGTGAGTAATAAATATGTACTTTGGGTGTTATCAAGGCAAGCACCAAACACATGACCATGTTAAAGAATCGACTCTGCCAGATTTTCGATCGATATAGTAAACCTTTATTTGTAGTCGGATAGTGGATACAAACGCGAAACTCAAGAAACATATAAATAGCATGTTCACAAAGTGACTTGTGAAATACAGACTTCAAGTTACTTCAAAAAGAAGGAAGAATTATCAAAAAAATCCTCATTTAACATGAACTATTGTGAAGAAATAAGTTGGTAGTTGCTTACACAGAGTAAACTACTGCAGAGCATGACAACTTTAAAGGAGGCCGATTCATTAAAAATTTTCTCCGAACGCAGACAAACTAACTGCGGAGGGGCAAATTTAAATTTACCTGGGATCAGCTCAAAAGACCAACGGGTAGTAAACAAAAAAAACTCACGGAATTATGAGTGCAGTAGTTGTTAGATAATACATCAACCTCAGATTCGGAGTGATTACAAAGATCTGCTTGTTTTAGTTTAGAAATATTTAAACAAGGATTTCCCGTTTCCATTGCCACGCGTATTCGCTGAATATTCATCTGAAAATGATCCAATTACGACCCGGTATCATAACAAGCATTATAGTTCGAGGGCTGAAAATACTGTTCGGTACTTAGGGTGGGCAGATGAATTGACATTAGAAAGGACTTAATTTATGCTGTTCCAAAGGAAAACTTACTGGTATAGGATTCGGATTGTAAATGTAAAAGTCTAGGGTGTAGTGAGTGTCAATTTCAAAAACTCCAAAGGATAGCGTATCCTCAAATTCATCAGCCATGGGAGAAGTAACCTACAAAATAATAAACCCACTTTTGGAACGCTCAGACGTGTAGGGCTAACATTACAGCAGATTACGCTTAAAAATTGAGGATCAATAAGGAGGTTAAACACTGGACGGGCTTGCAAGTAAGAAGGACAACGGACCCAAACATATCACCATTTAGGAAATAACAGTAAGCGAGTTATACATTAATGAAAAACCTATTCATTTAGTTCTTACTACAAAATTAAGTCAGGATTTACATGATGGACTTTGGCAAGTTGATTATTTTCGTAAATTGGTGGGGTGTGAATACACGACATTTACTGAAATATAAAACGATTCTGCTCAAGCCGTGATGTTTACCTAAAATGGAGATCACCTGGCGAAGTCTAGGCAGAGGGGACGCTCCAATGATTTCAGCAATTACCTTTAATTTAGCATTGTAGAGGTTCAAGGAAATAGAAAAGGACGACGCGTTGGTGTAGAAGGTGAGGTTAAGTGAGGCTACATCGCAAATATGTCGTTCTTGATGGAAGCCCTTAAAATGGATGGTAATATTTGCGGATGCTGCTGGGAGTAGGTATTCGGCTTTTGCGAGGCCACCAATCTACGGTTGATGGAATGATAAATGCAAAGTTTATACATAAAGGCAGCTAAAACAATTGGATATGAAGATAAGAGTAATGGCATTAAGTGTTTAGACTACAATACCATCAAATTAGAACTAAACAGAAAAGACAGCCACGGTATTCACAGATGTTATGTGGTAAGTTCTAGACAATAGTTAATATCGGGTTGCATTTGGATACCTTCAAAGTGCCACAAATAACCTTTGCAGTTTAATTAATCATAATTATAATAAAATAACTAACAACTTTCAGGATTCCCGAAAAAAAGCCTTAAACATGAATTAGAAAACATTGAATATGACAGGTCATTGGGAGTTAGGATTGCTTCTCCGATTACCAAGGCAAGATTTCTATTGGGTTTGAGTGTGAATAACTTAGTCATATTAATATTATGAAGTGATTTTTACAGAGATTTCACCGAATTCAAACTTTTACTAATATATTAACTCAAGTTTAAGTTTGCTCAATGGTCGAGGAATGGGCAACCAAAGCGTCCTTCCACTTCTGTTTTTTTTGTGTGTGAAGAAAAATGGGCTGAACTAATGCGGTACAAGCACGCCCACATCGAGCGATGATGTTCCAGAAAACACCAAACAATTAGGACAGACAAAATAGGCCTGAGTGTCTACACTTTTCAGAACATTAGTATCTTTTTACTCGGAGAAAGTCACTATTCTTATTAGCAATTGTTGTTAAACAGTGGCAAAATCGAAGCCCGATTACCGTTGCTGCCGACCGAAAGGTGTTCAGATAGGAGATTGGTGTTTCACCAGTGAGATGTAGGAGAATAATGAGAGCAATAGTGCAGGCAAAAGCCCCATTCAAGGAATCCGTTGACAACACCCCGAAAAGGCTGATCACGTGACATGTGTGAAATTATACCTCAAGTGGGGCACTAAGATTACCCATCTTCCCTTTTTTTCCGAGAGGGAATATACTTTGCAAAAAGATTATGGCAAAATGTACCTGTTAAACTGGTAACTGGAAGGTACGGACACAAACGCTCACTACCCAAACAAATGGTTCTCTAGGGCACGCGAGCTTGAGCTTTAGACAAAAATCAGAGTGCTCATAAGAAACAGACCGCATTATTTGCTGGCTCTTAGGTAAATTACACATATAGGTCTGTCTGGATGTTTAGGTGGAGTGTGTGATCAACATACACAGCATTTTCTATGAGAAGCATAGGTAACCCCTGCCTGTGGGGGACAAAACCATACTTTTCTCTGTCAATTGATGCCTGGTCATTAGACAATTCTCGAAGGTTTATGCACACGTACCGTCTTGACACTGCAAGTTTCTAAACCGCTGAAGATCACGCAAATAAATTAGAACCCTGACAACGCCAAACACTGGATAAAGTGCTTCCCATTGTGTGAAGAGAGAGTGCTACATTGGCTCATCGCGCTACAGCCACTTGAGAGTGCGCCCGGGCATGCAAGTACGGTACACTCACAGCATTATAGGTGAGAAAGTTTACGCGCCAGGCACGGCCTTGCGAAACATGAAACTATATGTGCTAATGATAACGAACACTACAAATCAAATGTTAGTTTTGTCAAGAAACTGATGAAACTGAGCTCCTTTTAAGTGGTAATTTAAAAGCATACTCCATACGAAAATATGCTTTATCGGACCACAATATTTACCTTGTAATCAGTACGAAACCGAATTACTTAGCCGGAAGTTAGCTAGAAATGAAGCGATTCATGGCTACAGAAGCAAGAAATGTGTGGTGTCTGAATTGAAACACAAATATCAACAATGAACTTAATCACAAGCATGTTTACACCACTAGTACGGGAAAGTTGGGAAAATAAAAATACGTAATTTTTGCTCAAGGTGATGCAGCAGAAGAATGTTACCAATGGTTATGCCAAGATCGGGATGGCTTGACGAGATCTGATAAAATAGTGCCTTTGACGTTTGCGATTACAAGGTAGTCTAAGTAGAATGTGTGGTTGTTTACTGGTGACCTACTTCAGGTATAAATGCATAAGCTGTTGGATGACGTTGTCAACTGCGTGACGAAAGGGAACTGGCTGTATAACTTCGAAGAGTTAGCATAACAAGCAAATTCAAAAAATGACTCGTTTCATACGTCTTCTGAAGAGTCCGGGTAAAGTGATTCGAGACTTTTTTTACGTCTCGTCGAGCATTTGCACCAATTTAAGCAGAAAAACTTAGCAATAAATGCTGCCGCCGTTTTAGATTAGAAAAAGAACACCACACTGGAGTAAAGCAGACAATAAGTAGTCGAAAACAGCATTTCCAACGGATACACAATACTTACAGATTGAATATTTTTAACAATATTAATGGATTATAATAGGAGAAAATTTCTAACGCACCGTATTCAGATATGCTCAAAAGACGTCAGCTAATCAACCCATGGTCACGGTACAAAGCTTAAAATGGGCATTAAAGAACAGTGAACAAGCCAGTAGCAACACCTCAAAGTTTCATATTTAAGACGATAATAAAAATATGGACATTCAAAAGCATCCAGGTGGTGCTTTAATCACTTAGAATTAATGATTGGTAGGAAATTTCTAACGAGCATTTATTCGTGCTATACGGAATTTGTTTTGAATTTCAACTGAAGGATAAGATTTCAAAACCTAAGACTCCTCGGAATATCACCCGACTTGGGATGAAAAAAAGGGCAGAAAACTGCATAAAGAGATGTGCTGCACCGGTATTCTCTTGATCATTCTTGGTGGTGCACACGCCAACACCAGTTACAATTTGGTATTTTCACTTAACTCACCTCAAAAAGGTTGGCATATTCGTCGGGAAGACGATATCCTTGAATCTCGAGGGGAAATTCGAAGGCATTTGTTATCGTTACTGTTCCAGATCTGAGTGAATTTAGCTCAACAGCTTCTGTGGAAATTCCACAGTAAAATGACAATTGTTGGTGACTAAACAGAAGCGATCTAAAGCAACAGTAAAAAGTGGCCGAAATGATATGCACAGTCGAAACTAAATTATCAGAATTGAGAATGGAATACGTAGTGAGCACACATAATTCCGGCAATGAAGTTCATTTAATACAAAAATTTACCGCTTATAAAGATTATACTCCCAAATTTAACAGATTTGCGATGAGGCAATGTAAAACGAATGGCTTTTCACAGAGCGAAACAATTAACTTGATGTCTGTAAATTCTACGCTACACATGTGAATGGTGAAAATGCAACACATACAACCATACTGAGACGGTCACAAAACTCTATAAAGAAAAACCACGACACAAAACGATCTGGCGTACGAAATTGCTCAATGGATAAACCAGATGTACTAGCCGTTTCAGTACCTAGATCAGTGTTTGGAAAATAAAAGACGTCAGGTGCGAATGTTTACCACTAAGCAGTGGAAATATCTAATTTGAGCTAGTTTGGAATTAACATAAGAAGCCACTGCATTAACAAATGTAAAAATAAACCTGTAAGCCCGTTACATTGGTGTTTAATAAATAATTTAGTCAACAATAGAGGATAAAACTATGATTTGAGATGGAACTGTCAAAAATGTGAATATCCCTTCAAGCATCCTTTCTAGCGAAGCGACCATTTGAACAACACAGATCGGATAATCACTACAAAGAATACGCACCCATTATGTACTGATGCCTTGTAAGGAATTAAGATGGGGGACTGCCCATCTGCCTCTACACTGATTTTGCCGGAAAAATAGCCGATTCTGCCCAGGACAGCCGCTACAATGAAAGTTATTAGGTTAAGTAAACTAAAATCCACTCCCAACTCTACAAAAAGATGATAGGTGTAATCAAAGCAGATGACACTTGAAACCAATTAATGACCACATAATAAAGGATCCTGATCAAGTCAATTATAATTGTCAAATCAAAAAACGATAAACGAATATTCCACATAAAAGACCAGCTAAACAAATCTAGCGTGTAAAGAGGGGTTCTTAACAAATAACATAGATTTTGGGATTATCACTAGCCGTGTTGGCAAGTTTTCAGTCATCCATTTTATAAAAAGCCTTTTCATCATTCTTCTGTTAATCAAAAATTGTCACCGTCCCAAAGTTATTTATATACCTTTGAACTATGCGCGACAAATATTGATTACAAATAGTTTTAGAAGCTCATAATAATTCCTCACACATCCCAAAATGCACTTGGGATTCCTTTGAACTAAGGCTGCTAGACGCTAAAGATGCTCTCTGTACTTATAGAACTATTCTGACTACCTCCCAACATTAGAAATAATCAATGGCCGTTTCTGGTAACATTAACTCAAAAAGCCACCGTAATATTAAGGTGAAATCAGCAATTAGTTGACATGTTTTCTGAGACATTCAGCTAAGGTGCTACGTTGGACCAACCTAATTCTTATCAATAGTATTTTCGAGTAACTTAAATTCGCAGAGAACACCGAATCACCCAACTTCATGACGTTTATTTGAAGATCCATCATCAAACTTTTAGAACAGCCCCTGATCCATCAGGTAATAAAGCACATTTGCGTGTCCTTAGCATATTTGAGTCATTCAAAACATTCTATGTCAGATAACGAACGCACTTTGACGTTAACTATGAAAACACTGTAAAAAGAAATTGAGCTAGGAAAATGCCGGAGAAAAATGGGATAATTTTATGACAAAATTCTGAGATACAGACTTCAATGATAGCTTTGTATTCAGTTCAGTCCGATTATCCAACTATAACTGATATCAAACTGAAGAGCAGAATGTCATAGAAACAAAGTATTTTGGAGTCTTTTTGGTTGATACTCCCCCGCACCGCCGTTTGGCTGCGAAACAGGAGAAATGTGGCCCTTCATGGCCCCTATAGGACAGCTTTTTAGTCTTGTTATTTCAGTTTCAGATCGATGCCCCATTAATTTAGTGACAAAAAAAAGTGGGATTTTGTTCCCCCAAATCAAGCACCAACTAGACGCCTCGTATGAAAAAAAGGAAGGCACATTGATCAGCAGAAGAGGGCTTTTAAGAATTATTTAAAACTCAATATTACAAGTATTAGAAAAATGACTCAAGCATTAAAACATTGCTGAATTTAAAAAAAAAAAAGAGCTAATACGATAACAATTATGACGTGCAATTAAAAATCACGGGAGAAAAGCATGAAGTAGGAATGATTTATCACTGTTAAAAACGAACAAAGTAATAGCAATAGTAAACTTGAAAAAGAACAATACCAATCGAGAGAATTAACACGGATAACTAAAATGAGGCTACGAAAAGATTAAGGGCACATAGATGAGCGTAAAAAAAGCGAAAAAAGACATACGGTTGAAAGTAATCGTTGCAAACTTCTTCCCGTAATGTTCACTGTCCGGAAAGACAATAGAATCATGGACGATTTCAATGTGACTGTCTGCGTTTACAGTTTTAACCTTTATTAATAAATGCAAGAAAATAGTGGTAGTTGTAATAGCGTACACATGTTGCGACTTAGGATCAACAGCAAAACAAACTTACATGTACATTTAATGGTACTGTTAGCTGATTACAGACTGTGAGATGAAGGCGTTTGGCTGGGTCCGAGACTCGGATTGTACCAAAGTCGAGGACCTTTTCCTCAATATGAAAGAGGCTAGCTGAAAAAAAAAGCTAAGTATTTGTGTCGTATTTCAAAGCGAAGGTAAAAATCAAACAAGAAAACTCACTAAGATTAAAATTCAGTGAAACAGGAATGAGAAAAGTGACAGGATTAAAACTAAAATGTCGGAGAAGAAAATTTGATGATGAATTTCTGGGTATTGATGAATCAGTTTTCGATGGGTATGCTAGTGAAATAGTTCCTGAAATAACTCCCTGTAGAACCAGTGGCTGCATACTAGAAATCCTTAAAATACAAGAGCCACTCCTTTGTTGTCCAGCAGTGGTAAAGGAGTCCGGGACCTGCAGGTGGTAGGCATTTTGTTGACGCCGACAATTACTACTAACTGACGAAAAAAGTGATCGATTCCTATCCGTCTGCATGAAACTGGAACCATGGAAGACCATTTCCGATACCTACATTAAAAATGCCAATTAGGGCATGCAGAACTTGCCAAAGAAGTTATATTTAAACATTACCTTTAGGTGGAATGGATAGGGATTTGAAAAAGTAAAAACAAGATCATGAATCTTTGCAACGCTAAGTTTGGCAGTTATTGGTCGCAGACCATATATACTTGATGTGGAGAATCCATAAACCTAGAATCAGCATGACTACAACAACGCACCTCACCTTACACTTAGCCTGTCCAGTACTCGTTGTAGCATATAATTCAGCCTCAATGTGACCCAATTCGTCAGCTACCAATAACAAGGTAATGTTTTTCGACTGCTCTGGTTCAAGTAACTAGAGAAGCAATACATAAGATAAAGTCACCATACCAAGGTATTTGCAGATGTGAATAACAAGGCAAATGAAGACGTTTGGAAGGATGCGATTTCTACCGGATGGTTTGGGGAAGTATTCGTTATGGTGACATTTGCGTAAGCAGGCATTCCCAATTCCCTAGAATACGTTAACTTATATAATTAAACTAACTGATGACCAAAATTAACGTGGGTCGGTGTAAACTGAAGACCGGACAGGTTTTCAGCCCATTTGCCGGGGCTGTCAGGAAATCCGTTCGATTTACTTAGGTTTGAAGCAATTGCACTCTAAGTCCAAATAAGCGATATCAATATAATAGTACCCAGTACGTAACTCCAAATATGCTGACGTTAAACAGCCCACCAGAAAAAACTAGAATCTGTTAATAGAAAAAAGTAAGATACCAGGAGCTTCATCGAGATGGTACTGCGCTTTGGAATGCACAATCCACAAAGCAACAAAACAAAACAGGTACTGGGAATTGATACCACAGACCATCATAGCCTCATCGTAAATGCTCAAGTTTTCGAATAACAAAAATGCCCATCACAAAGCTGTAATGATCCAATTAGTATCCAAATAAAAACCAGCCTGTTGAAGTTTCGAAGGGAAGCGCTTTGGACAGTATTGACGTCCTGCAGTTTGCAACAGAAAAATGAAAATATGTATACGAGTAAATGTTAGTGATATCGTTAAGTCGAGGAGTTACGAGATACAAGATAACGCTAATTCAGCTCGATAAGAACAACAGTTTTCCGCGAAGTGATTGTGAGTATATTTAGGCGGTTGACCGTTGTCTCACCACCACTTGATTGGTTCAACTTGGTGAAATTAGAGCTGGATTATCGGTTAAAAGTTACTGCTGCTGACAAAATTAAAAGGGATCCGAATAAAAGACTTTAAATGTAAGTTTACCGCTTATTTAGCAGCAAATTTAAATCTATGATACTAGCCATTATTTGCAATATTTTAGCGGGAAAAAAAGGAATGAAACAAGAATCTCTAAACTCGATATTCATTTTGACACATAGGAAAATGACTGACATATCAGGCTTTCACAGTAAGACTCCTGTCCCACTCTTGCCTTATACTTCATTCCTTTCAGGCATTTCCAAGGACCAAAATATCAAGCTGTCCAAAACACGTTGATTTCCGAAGCTCCACACTTGTTAACCTCCCCCTCGTCCCGTGATGGTATAGATGTGCTCCTACATCGCCGTTTTATAAAAAAAATATTAATTTCATTGTACTTTATTCATAGTGTATGGCACAGACTGCCGTATTTTTCTGTAGACACGACAATAGACCATTTCCTGTCTAACCCAAATATTTTCCATTAAAAATTCTCAAATTGGCATTAATTAGCTAACTCTGTTCATATAAAGACGGTTAATCACGCTTTGGTAAGAATAAATAGCCTTTTGTCTATTTCAAGTTTAGTTAAAAAGGTGCTGCAAAAACTGCGAAACTTTACACAAACACTTAGCGTGACACTTTTCGCCTGGATTTACTTGAATTTACTCATCATAAGATTAGAATACGTTAACGTTTACAGGTTTAACTACAGATTCCTGGTATATTTTCCAGCTACTCTTTGTGGCGTTCAACACACAAAAAACATTCACCGTTCACAGTATCCTTGAAACCACACAACAATTTGTTAACTATGCTTATTCCAATGAAGTTCTGCTCGCGATCATTCAACCTATGCAAAACAAGTTGATAAGCTACCAAAGTAATATGTTAAACCTTTGTGAAGATGGAAAATACCTAAATGTTATCTTTGTTCATCCAATTTCCACGATAGACATGCTATTTATCACGGACCAACAAATTGCAAACTGACAACCGTGGCATGAGTGTCCAAATGATTTAGAAATCACGCTGCTATAATTTTGGTTTATTTTCACAAAATTCATAGTTTTAGTTAGAATAAGATGACTTTAAAAGCTTATACACCTTATTGAATAATTTGCGTGAGTTTGTCTAATGGTCGTTCAGTTATCCATCATGATTTCCCACAATGTAAGGGTCTAGTGATTTTTTATTGCATATTAATAAGAGTATTTTGCCCCAGCATTTTGCTTCAATAGTGCAAATGATCACCTTTTGGACAGTCACACACTATTTTGGTCGTTTTCATAAGGGCTGGTAAGCATTTTATAGTAATGAGAGTTTGTTGGAGAAATCATTGGAATGCCTTCTTAATTTATACCTTCTGTGCATTTTAAAATACAATTATTAAGGGATCGTTTGTTAATCGTAAATTTTACCAAAAACTTGACACACTATTAAAGCGAAATTGGAACTTGGTTAACTTCGATTGTTCTTTCCAGTGGCTTCCAAAATACACACTTTAAATATCAATATCTGTAAGAATAATCTTAATGGGCTAAGGGAATATAATCAATGTGCTAGATGTCCAATTATAAGAGGTAAATCACATTAAACCATAAGGGCTGTTTTTGACTTAGATTGGACGATCTAAGACACAATCACAAAGGTGTGGCCAAATTAAATTATTGTTTCGTTACCCGCTTAAGCTTTTATAATCTAGTATAAGCGTGCTTTGTAGTTGCTAACAACATTTTTTTTATGAATCTACCTGCTTTGTTGACTAACTAAAATTGTAATTATCTCTAATTTTTACTTGACTTAGATGACAATGAAGCTAAGTATTTGTTGCGACCATTGGTTCGGTTTGAGAACCATACTGTGACCAAAGATCTACGTTGAAATAGCGCGGTCAAAGAAAGAAATTTAGGGAACTCGTAGCTCAAGTAATTTATCAAGAGGGTAGAAGTGATGTTTTACAAAATAACAAGTCGTCGGTTTACATTGGATCAGTTTACGACGATCTCTATACGAATATTTTTGTTAAAGTACATTTATACAAATCTATTACAACGTTTTAGTTTACGATAGCTCTATTTGCTAGGTTTACCCGCAACAAAGAGAAAACCACTCAAATAACAGTACCAAATCCCTTGTTGACGCTAGCACCGACGTTTCCACGCTAATGCAAGGACAAGACCAGAGCTCATGTAGAGAGCTTGAATCACGTCAGCCACGTGCGAAGTGTGTTGTCAGAAGTAAAACTAATTGAATTCAAGGTTGACCTTGACCTGATAAAAGCGTAATAGAACACATGTTAGGGACTTAGTGTAAATATTGACAAAAACCAACGATGAGCAATCTTTGGGATATCGTGGATCCCCATCAGTGTTCACTTGCTGCTTGCCACAAATGTGTTGGATTGTATTTTTCAACACGTGTTGCAAATGACGCCCTTAAACATTCAAAAGGCTATTTGTGATGTCACAAACTGTTAGTGTACAATGCTTTCAAAATAGACATTGACACGTAAGGTGAAATGCTTAGGTCAAATATTGAAGAATAGTGGGTACATCATAGTGCTCTATAAACTCGCATGAGCTAACTGAGTGAAAGGATTGTAAATTAAACTGAAAACACTACGGCAAACGCTTTGAGAAGACACTGAATGCATCAGGATGGCTTCGGCGTTTCTAGCTAGGGATCGAAGAGATTGATTTTGAGCAATTGTGAAGTTTCAGCATTCATTAATATAAAGGGCCTTAACTAAATGATAGAAGTGTTATGTCCTAGAATTTGAGATAAATTAGCTATAGTATCATTTATAAATTAAGGACACCAGGCATGTGGCTGTGTTGGTGTTCGTGGCCGTCAGGGCAGATATTTCTTGTTATACTGACCAGCTTTCTAAAAGCAAAGTCACATCATTGGCTATAACATTTAATAATTTTGATTCCTTTTACAAAGCCCGTTTTTTTCTCAGGTCTCGGAAACTTAAGCACCCACGTTTGTTTAGTCAATGTAGCACAATATATTTGCATTAAGTAGATAATGAAAGAGGATCAGACCGATAAATTATGATATATACTGGAATTGAAAATAACGATATTTAATGGTGGCAAGAAAAATGGCTTTTGGATAGTCAGTAAAATTTTACAGTGCAATTTTTACTTGGCCGATGTAATCAAAAAGTTCGCAGCATGGTCTACACACAATCACAAAATACTCAATACAAAGAAGATGTTTCGATAGCTTTTAGAAGTGCTTGTTCAAACAACTGTAAAGATAAATCAAAATATGATTATTTGGTTCAAATACTGTTGTTAACTTGGCATTGTATAAAGATGGAAACAAACATAAATGAAAAGTAGAGCGTTTATGCTAAGTTCAACTTTTAGATTAATCGCTTGAGTTTTACAATTTGCAACAAGCCAGATTGCACTAAATGATAACCCTAACACTTGCAGCAACCGAGATATGGCTAAGTACATTACCCAGTGGGTATAGTATGATAATGCTCCGCTACACAATCACTTGAAGAAGGGTCGAAAAAGGTATATGTTTTTGTCTGGTAAATCCTTCGGCTGTCCGAAATGATAAATGCTATCTGTGGAGGAATTTCATCGGCTATTTGCGAATAAGAGCATTGTTGGTACTTTATGGCTGATAAATAGAAATAAATATTAACATTGTTATTATTGTGTACAATATCAAAGGTCATTGACTCCTGACGTTTATTGGTCCCTGTTTCCGTGATGTCACTCATTTTCGTGTTTTTCCCAGCTAGGTCTTCTCTGTATCGATGGATGGTGTCTACGTTTCCGGTGCCCGTTTAATCAAGAATCTTCAGGGGTATAATGTAAAAATTACTACACTCTTATAATGTTATCGTACTGTCAAATATTGATGTGTTGTAGCATATCGTTTACCGTTTTTCGGTCTTGTTGTATGAATGTAGTTAAAGATAGCTATTGATTTACCCACTACTCGGATTCATTTTTAAATTTTTATGCAGTTTCGATGTACCTAATGTCAGTGTAGGCTTTAGTTATCTTTCTCGAACTCATTTAGGCTTGTGTATATTTTTTCATGGACTTGTAATATGCACCTACACTACTGGGTTAGCAGGCATGTTGCTAGTCTTACAATTTTATAGAATCGTAAAATTTGTATTACTTGTGCAGTGTAGGTTCGGTTACGCTATACGTTATTTCCAAAACTCCCGAAAATAAGTAGTATTATTTTCTGTTTTTAGATTCCGCCCAGCCTATTCCTTTTTGCTAGCCACCTTGGTAATCCGCCGATAGTGAACCTTATTGCGTTCCCGTTGGCTTTTTTTCTGCACCCGGTTCTGGGGTCAGCTACTCTTTTGTCGATAAACTTCTCCGAGTGGCTCAATTGTGCATTAAAATTGTAGGTTACATTTGTTATATAAACGGATATATTACTCATATTATGTCCAGGCCCTATCTTCTTATACCCTAGGAATCGTTTGTTACGTATGACACAATGTTTACCTTAACTGCTCGGGCCTTTGCTTATTTGTTTGCTGTTCCAATTGGATTTAGTCATTTAGAGTTTATGTGTTTAAACCGAAACCTGCCTGACGTTTCTGATGCAATAAACTCTTCCTTGACTACTATTTCATATAGGGGCATATTGCCTCACCTCATGTTCTCATAAACAAAGCTTACAAACAAAATAATAGAAGTCAAATAATATGGGCATTTAACTCAATGTTATGTTCGCAGTGTGCTAATTCCACTTCGCAGACATTTTTCCTGTATTTGTTGTAATAGTTCTGAACCTTGACCTAGAATTCTTACGAATTTATGATGATGTTCTGATTTGTTCATTTGTCGGTGTAAGGATTCTAAACGACGACCGTCCGTACTGGTGGGTGAAAGAACATTCGAAAACTGGTCTTCAACTTAAGCATTTCCCGATAACCTGTGAAACTGGTCCAGGTAGTCCCTCTGGTCATTGTATGGTGTCCGTTGCTGGATGGTTGCCAATTATTCTCTTCGTTAGGCATCAATATTCAAGGTGGGCTTTCTGGTTTGTGGAAATTATCGTCATTCATTTTATCTGCCGTCTATTCTAGATTTGGCTCTGTTCTGTGTTTTGTGTTCCTGATATGTGTCGGTGTTGTGGCAACAAGTCGCCTCTACGTAGCGGCACACTTTCCTCATCAGGTCATTTTCGGCACGATATTGGGCAAGTTGTATTTACATAAAAATACCGTACATCCGCATTTCTACTTTCTAAAGTGTGATATTTGCATTAAGACCTTGTTAACCCTAATCATAACTTTGGGTTGTATAGAAGTCCGCGTCACTTCACTGTTATTAGGAAGTAGACCTGACCCTCAAAATGAATTATGCCATATGACTTGAGAATACCAACTTTTCAATTTGTGGATGAATCCAATCACCGTTGGTTTCAATTGATAAGCTCAACTTTGCTCTAGACTCTATTCGTAAAAGGCAATAAAAATTTAAAGTCCTATAAATCAGTGCATTAATGATTTGACCATGGCACAAGTCTCTAATTGCAACCCTACAAATTACTATCTTGCCCAGTTTTAAATTTTACTTTAACTGCCTGGTTATGGAGTTGCAGATTTAATCGTCTGGGCGTAGTTAATTTCTGTCATTGTTTACATCCCTAAGTACTTAGCATCTTTCATTTAAGGAGCTGTTATTGGCCTTTCTTTTTATACATGGACTCAATCCTACACACAAAAGAACCAATGTCTCTTTGAGAATAAAACATTCAATGAAATCCGACCGTCTTTACTGCTTTGTCCGCAGAACCTGGTTTTCATTGCGGTTGGCTCGTTTATAATGAGCAAGATTGTTGGCATTGCGTTGTCACATGTTGGCGTCGATGTGCACAGGAGCTATCGATTTGCCTTGGACGCCTGTGATCGTCCTGAATGGATTCACGCCTCAACAAGTATTGACGCCTCATACGCTCGAGTCATGGGAGCTATACTCGGTAAATCATCAGAACCTTTCCTCTCGTGTTTCCGAAATGTTTATTTATAGTTTTCAGGACTTTAAGTCACAAGTCAGTTTTAAGTCACAGAGTTTAAGTCACGAATCTCTGTGACTTAAACAGTTTAGAGTTAGTTTTAAGTCACAGAGATTCGATGATACTAGTTCATCACATTCACCTACCTTCAACTCCTATGAAAATCCACTTATGCTCCCATTTAACCAATAAAATTTCGATGCTTAGAAAATGATATATAGTCTATTCAATGTAGCATGGTCTCAGTTCAAAGCGAGTTTGATGAATCTCACTTGTTTTTTCCCGGGTCTTTGCCATAGGACAGCATGTATCTACCTTGTAACTTATGATGATGTTGGGGCTCACAGAACCCCACAATTCACACGAAAACATTACATTAAACTGGTTTAGTTCTGGTAGACTTTAAGGTTGTGAACAAGATCTACTAGGGTGACAAATCTAACTATTTTTTTTTAAATTTCAGGCCTAGCTCTTGCTTTGGTGTTCCGTCCGCTGATGCCACACTGCAGTCCAAGATCCGCCGTGACGCTAAAGCGGCTGGTACTTTCAAGCGTAATCTGCGCTATAGCCTCAAGCGTTTTCAAAGCCATTGCTCAATTCATCGGCTTTCAGCTTGCACGTTTTGCAAGCTATATCTCCGTTGACTCTGACACCCTTTTTCTCCTTTCCATGGTTATACAAAGCGCTGTCTGCCCTGTGATCGTTGCACTTGTCTTTCCGATATGCTTCGCTCGAGCCTGTGTGCGCGACAACGCATTCTTTGACCCTCATTCTGCCTCTGACACTAGTGTCTCACACGATGAGTCGCCGTCCGCTCCACTTGTCATAGACCATACCTCTGGTGCGTCGTCATTAAAGTGCCGAAGATCCCGTCCGACCTCCCGCCGCAGCTAATTTCATTTGAAATATAATCTTGAAATTGATAGACATGTGCTAATTTTTCAGTGAAAGTTAACGATTTACTTGAAGGGATCGCAAAAACTAATAATGCGCTTGCTCTAATACTCAGTTCGTATTTGCCCACAAATTTTCCCAATTCACGTCCTGCAGTTCCGAAACGTAAGTCAGAGACAAAGAATTCGCCTTTTGGTTACCGACTTCAGCAAAATAGGATAACTAAATGGACGTAAAGTGGATTAGAAGGTAGTTGATTTTTGGGTGATCAGAGAAGAAATTATAACAGAACATGGGGGGTATAAGTGGGTTGCCTCCCATCAAAACGCCCAAACAGCAGCGCCCGCGGTGGCGTCCATCTGCCATACTGAGGCGCAAGTAGTACTTCAGCCCGATGGTCCACTTGTTCTTGCCGGTACTGAGGGTCCACCTGGGATTTCCCGGAGTTGACACAAGACCGCCAGGCACAAAGTGTTCATATTAAAAGTGTTTCAACCAACCAAGTGTCATGCAACTTTGACTGTAGTAAAACATGATAAATGATGGGCGCGCACAACAAAAGTAGAAAAAATGGAGACAGACGGTTGTTTGCACCGCTGCTGCACTCGGAATATGAACAGCTAGAAGTTATCGGCATATTCCAGTTTCTTAGCAAGAATTGTCAACTCCTTCAAGGTTTCGTGTACAGATTCTACGGGTAGAAATAATAAGACAAGATAACCTATGGGGCACCGTACACGACAAATGTATGAAATTACTTTGATGCATGACGAGGAATTATTTGGGGTGAGATTTTGGGTACAAAAAGAATGATTGAAAATGCGAATTTCGATTAAAATTGCATTAACGAAGTGTTAATGACCACACCGTTTGACTAGGCTCACAGTTACATCAGTTCTAGGTTCAATGCTGCAGGTGAAATAGCTGAAAATGCAAAAGAGGACCAAATTATATAAACCTGCTAGAACATTGGTTAGGAATTTGAATGCACTCTGAAAAGACTCTTCAGAGATATCCCAGAATGCACAGAAACAGTCGATAATTAAAAAATACCGATTCTTGATATAAAACAATCTATTTTTTTAACTTAAGCTAATTGTCCGCTCCAGAAAGACCGCAGATTTTAGTGACGTCGTCATATTTGACCATGGTTTCCACTCCAACGTTTATTTCAGCTTTGTTTTATTCAAAGGGAGTGGCATGAATGTACCTAACTGACTGCTGGATAGGCTATTCAGAAGAGAGGTTTTATCGGCACCAACATGTGGAAGCGCCTGAATTTTATGTGGGGGGTTGTCAGTTGTCCCGATGGATGGGACAACTGCTTTCCCCACGGACGCAGTTTCGACGTCGGGACGGGCAAATACTTCTTCCGGACGCAGCGGAATCGAATAAGCACGTCGATAAACAAGCGGCGGCCTGAGAAATAACTGCTGTGTCGGTTCACGCAGATCCCTCTCAATTTGAGCAATTTTCGCCTCATGGTCTACATCCAAAGCCGACGCTTTCAACTGTAACGAAATAGGGCGAAAATGTTCAACCTTCCGTTTGATCAGCTTCTTTTCACAGTAAAAAGTCAGAACTTAACTAGAAATGTGAATGAGTAGCCGTTTGTTTGAGTGCTTGTAGTCATTCATTGCAATACATAAACAATCTCTACAGTGTCAACACCATGTTAAAAATGCTTATTTAATATTCCAGACCCAGCCTTTGCAGGTTGATGTTGCTCATCGTCAACAAGTAGCACTAGCAATCGTTATTTAAGACGAGTTAGCCTTAAAGTTCTTTATACGGAAAAAATTTATGCCGTAGAGATGCCCAAAAATAGCTTTGTTGAAGCACTAAGGCGATCTGAACTGCAAATGGAAAATCAAATTCATAAACAAATTATGGATTGCCAATATTGTAGAATGCCGGTTTAGTAATTAAACTGAATTTAAATAATTAAATAAACCCTGTTCTTAGTTTCCCGGAAGTAACTTGCTAAGAAAGACTAGAAGCAAAGTAAGCAATCAACCTGGGACCTCTTTTCTTCATCTGAATACATGGCCATGCGTTCAGAATGGGGTGCAGGAGTGATGGCTTTGGAAAGGTCAGTCTTCGTGTTAGCAGACTCCGTTTCAATTTCTAGGTCTTCATTAGAAGTCTCAACTGAAACACCTTTGTGGTCGTTTTTCGGAATTCTAAGATGCGTTTCAGCCATTTCCACCTATAATGCAGAACACTTATTAGGTTCGAAATCAGCTACTTGCATTTTATTTATAAGAACAATAAAAGGGATGACCTTTTCTGTCAATCAATACAACAACCTGCCGAAAACAGACCGAAGGAATGTCCTTTTTAAACAAGCTACGAAAAAGCAGCACAAGTTGTAAGAACTTTCTCTAAAAAACGATGCCCTATGGCATAATGGGATCACAGAGGAGTTTTGTTAAACCAGAAGATGGCGATAGAGAATGGCGCCTCAAATCAGCAAAAAACAGACCTAGGATAGCAACTGGTACGAAATCACTCATTAATTATTTTAATGTGTCACACTTATTTGATAGTCCTTGGGAGTGCTTATTTAAAAAGAATTCCCGGTTAGATCCATCAAGCGACATTTGTTTAGGATATAGCCTTTTAACAAATATGTATTTAACCAGAGAAAATCAAAAAATCCAGAAAAAAAAACAAAATTTTCTTCCGATTATTTTAAAAAAAGACTATAATTAGATATACCCCCGTACTATGAGCAGCAATCCAAACATAATAACTACTTGTTTACTTTATTAGGCAAACTAAGTTAAGCACTAAATGAATGCATATACCTGGGTCTTTTCATTTAAATGTCCTTCAAGTGCTGCAATTTGTAACTTCATACCAATTTTTTCATTAGAATCTGTCGAAAAAAAACAGACAATTACATGTTGGTCTCATGTATGACGAGAAAAATCTGAGAAGCAGCTAAACATACCCGCTACCTTAATGTAACCAGGCCGCTCGCCAAGGTCCCGCCCGTTCTTAATGCGATCCCTCGCTGTGGGGTCTCGATCCACGAGGATTTGCTTTATCTCATTGTGAGGAACGGCTACACGTCTAAAGCCCACGTTGTATCCAATAAGTAGTCCCGTTTTTCAAATTTAAAGTGCGTCTAAGTAATTTATGTCTTCGTTTTTAAACATGAAGAATATTTATTTACAGTTGCTATTTTTAAATTCAATGACATTTATCCTCAAAAGTTTAAACTCGCACTAATACTGGAGACCACTAAAGGTTACTCATTTGTGCTTTCTGATACATCCAGGTTCAGTGATCTATTTAATGACATTTAACTTTAAGCTGAATAAGTCAAATGTTGGTTGAATTTAAACAGCTCACGGCGATAACAAGCCAGTAGGGGCAAAGCAGCTCCCTTTTCGACTGATTAAGGCAAGAGAAAGTAGAACTTACTGCTTCTTTTCTTCGTTAATACTAGGAATTATCTCGTTGATTGGGAAGTGTCGCATACAACATGTTTGTGCGCCTCTACTCCATTGATTTACGTTCCGGCGAATTGTAGACTTTCGTGCAAACAGGGACCGAACGACGGGAAGTCTATTATTAATATCTGCTATACGCTGATCCAGAATCTGGAGCCTACTCACTAATGGGAGAGCTGTGATGTCACTCTCGTTGGCAAAAGTGCTACTTAAATTTTCCTTTACCTCCAATAGGTCGGCAAGGACCTTATGGAGGACAGTTTTTGTACACTCCATCAAGTGAGCATTCGAGTTATTAGACATGAGTAAGCGATGATTCAAGTTCACGACTTCTTGTGAACGATCCTAAAAACAAGCAAAAAAGTGCTAATTTGCCTTTGTTACGAGCCAGGACAAGATTAAAGTATTTTCTGGCTTTTGGTTAAACCATGGCCTGAATAAGCAATATATCTGAAAAAAGCCGATTAGCAGTAGACCCATAACCCAAAATATTCGGATTGCACCTATGCCACTATTATCTACCATGCATTTCTAAGGCATGGTAAAAACATCAAGGTCTAGGTTTAAATTTGAGGACATGCGAGGTAAATAAATTAGAAAAGTCGAAAGCATTACAAACCTCCATCACTTTTGAATTGGCCTTTAAGGCAGCCTCCGTGGCGACAAGTTTGAAATTAAGCGCTTGAGTTTGCATTTTTAGAGTGCGAAGGTGTTCCGACTGAATGTAGAACTGAGTCAGAATCGCGGCCTTCTCCCTATTGCACGCCTCTTCGTAAGCTGCTCGCTGCACTAACAAAAGCATTACTTGACGTTGCCAGGCCCTCAACAAGTGCCCACGTGGTGCTTTATCATGCCTTCCTCTAAAACATGAAAAATATACCTATTACTGTTTCTAACCTTCACAGTAACGAGAATTTTAGAAAACACCCAGGGTGCTTTTATTTTGAAGAGGAAATCATTGGGGATTTTGTTTAGTTTTGTATTTGTCTACGGTGTCAGCGAAGACAACTAACTTTTCACGGAGAGGAACTTGATTTTGTAGACTCTGAAGCTGGCATCGAAGCTGACGAATCTCCTGCTTGAGGGACTCCTTTTCAGCCACAGCCCGGCAAAACTATTTCAAGAGGAAGAGGGGTCCACAATAAGCAAAGTAGGTCAACATGAAATAAATACGTTTAGTTTCCCATTAAAGGAATGTGACCTTCCATTTATGAAATGTGCGTAGCTAATATTGCGAACAACAATTTAGATTACCACCAAACACGAGATTGTTGAAAAATGGAATGTAAGTTATGTAAACGTTTGAAACCGCTTAATGATACAAACCTAGATATCTTAAAAGTTAGGGCGAAACATTTGACAGGTTACAGGGATTTAGTGTCATAATAGACAGGCATCACACAAGGCTACGTCGGCTGCAAACTGAGATAGATGCTGGGACACGTTTATCCATAATTGCGAAGAGAATTTGCCAGTCACTTCCTAAGTCAAATTTCGCTGAATCTCAAAATAACTATTGTTCTTATATGTTATGTGAAAAAAAAAATAATTCTTGTCGATTTTTCAGTAAATCCAAAAAATCAATAAGAATCGTGTCCTACGTTTTGTTCCAGAACCTCGTCCAACTTCGCTTTATGAATCTGCGATCGATGGTTTTCGTCGGTCCCAAAACGGTTGCCGAAACCCCGAAGGGGAATAGGTTCGTGGCTCGCTATGCCACTGGGCTTCTTTGCATTATTATGTATCTGATTAACCTTAAAATGTTCATTCTCTAGAGTCCTGCATCTCCTTGGTTGTGAGCAGGTTTGCAGACGGCAGCTGGGACAAAGACATAGGCAGTTGAGCTTTTGCTACACTGCATTGCATGTTATGTCGTATTGCCAAAAATTCATCACACCTAAACTTTTTACCTTTTTTACAGAGTAGGCATTGTGCTAATGCATGAACGATCACAAGATCTGTGGCATGGGTTCAGTGGATCAACCTTACTGGTCCTAATTTCTACATAATTTAAATTTTCGCCTTTAAAATTTTTAAATTCTATGCTGAGGGCATTAGGGGAAAATTCTATGTTCCAAATCGTCATAAGTATGAATTAATCTACCAGAAATCTGAGAAAACACAACCTCTCCATGCCAAACGGTTTTTGATGAAGGTCAAACGGGACATAGAAATTTGGTGGAAAATTTAGGATAGAGAAGGGCGGCCGGCCATCACTGAGTGATGATACGTCAGAAATATCAAATTGGTTCGATTTTGTAGTATCAGCAACAACTGAGGGAGACATGTGAGTGAGAGTGCATGCGGTAGAAAATTTCTGCCTATGAAAAACTTCGTAAGCATGCGAATTGCTCGAGATTTGAGTAGGTGATATCTTCGAAGGGGTGGTTATCGCTTGGGGAGGTAATAAAGCCCCATCCATAATATAATTAGTTGAAGCACTATCGTAGTGTGCCTAAAATATAATAAGCAGAGCTCAAGTAGTATTTAAAAGCAGATACATATTTGACACAAATGATGTTTTGATCTCGCCAAAAGTTCAGTTTTGAATTGAGAGATCCATTGCAAGTGGCAAGACTTATTCAAATGTTAGGTAATATTTACCACCTACGAGAACAAACACTCAAGAACACGTACCAAAATTCCTGCATATCGATCTTAATTTTAAAGCCCATTCGCTTTAAAGTGGTCCTAAAAATTTTAATGATGATATTGAAGCTATTGTGCATTTGGGGACTTCTTTCAAGTAGAAGTGGGAGCATCTGTTAGAGTCAACTTATTATCTGGTCAAACTCCAGAGCGCCATCTTTAGTTGCAAATTAAGCGGGGCAATGAAGGAGAAAAGGACGCATAAATTAATAGCCCCTGATAATGGCGGTACTGGTAAATTTTTTCACAGATGTGATTGCAAAAGGTTGTAATGGTAAAATGTCAACTCTGCAGCATAAGCGTACAAGCACATTAGAACAGTCGACACATTTGGATGTAGGAAGTGACGATAATATAATAGTCAGAACTAAGTGCTTAACGAGAGCACACACTTGTTAAATATATCTGTACACTGTCACAACAATGCAAGAAAATAGATACCGCAGAAATTTGCGTAAGAAAATTCCAATAATTGCTTTGGTGCCATCTGGACCCAAGTGCCTTATTAAACAATTCCTTAGTTTCCTTATATATTTAAGGTTACCGTAAATCTGACAAAATATGCTTTAATGCAGAGGAAATGCATGCTCACATATTACGTTCGAATATGATCATTATTGCGTTTTTCACCAAGAGCCCTCAAATGTTTGAACAGTTTGAAGCATCTTCAAGAGGTCCACATTTTTTATAAAAGAATACTTTCATAAATGACTCAACTATGGTCTTCTATGTATTTACACACTTTTCCCACCAGACCTATATGGACGTTTAAGACTATATTTGAGAAGATAAAGACATCCAGACCCAAAATAAGGATATATTTTTTAACTAAATGTACATCACCAATATTTGTAGCACATTTATGTCTCAAGGTTATAAAAAGACCAATTACTAATCACATGATTTTTGCCCACAGTATTATTCTACAACTGTGTTTGACTTGAGTCATTTGTAAATATTAGAAATTACCTTCAAATAATATTACAGAAAGTCCACCATCACCACTAACACAATGCGTACTTAGATCCCACCGAGTAACCGATAATTCCATGGGCTTTTGGCTCTTTAAGAGATATGTTGTCAACAACTAGAAGTCAGCCAATATGAAAACTAGTGGAATCCAGAAAATGGTGAGAGGGCAACACTAAGATGTCGGCAGAGTCGGGTTTTTTTGCGCAAACTACATTAGTAAGTGGAAATCACAAGCCGACAAATAGTTAATGCTTTGGATCACAAGAAGTGAATTAGTAAAACTTTAGTTTATGGGCTCACAAAACTAGAATAAATACGAAAATTGAAAAAGTACGCATGCAAAAATGGGCGATGAAATATGTTTAGTGCATAAAAACGGGCCTAGGAGAGAAACCGACTTCCTGGAAAATTTAAACACAATGATTTGCAGATGAGGACTCAAACTACAGGGTTTAAATCAGGTTCAGTGGTAAATTTGTCAACATTTTACACTATTTCACGTGTGGTTGGGAAGCAGATAATGGCCAAAATATTTCAGATTTTCTGCCCTTAAACTGCATAACAGGAAAAGTGGAAAGTAGCCCAAGCTGAGCTTCGTAACAGAAAACGAGACATTACCCATTCTGACCGCATTAACAGCGACATACAAAGACAGCGTTTACAAGTGCCACAATAAATATTAAAGCCCGATCAGGTAAGTACTAGTCTTCCTTTTAGATAACGTGTCAAATTTGAGCAAACACATGAGGTCAGGAAAGTCATAGATGTAGAGATACTACTGTGACATCAATAATATGCAGAAATTCACTATTTAATGCAGAAATAATTCCTTGAATAATACGTTAAGCTCAGTATACTTAAAACGAGTGCGTACTGATCTGCTACAAATACTCAGAGAATTACCCAAAACTTTGGTGCATATGTCGGTTACGATTGAGTCCCAACGAAAATAATTAATCACGAGTACTTTTAATCTTGATAGTGTACTTGAGCAAACAGCTTTCACCGTTGCGAAATTATTTAAACCCAACTAAAAAGCACACAACAAAGTCCAAGAAAACTAAATCACAACAATTGCGAAACCAACATTTGAACTCTTAACGAAGTCGAAGGCATTCAAATTTATAAAACAGATTTAATTAAAATGCAAAACGATTGTTACATTATGCAAAATCCGACTATAAGCTATGCACGTATTCGATGAAGGCTGTGTAGCAGGATAGCGGTTGCAGCCGCAACATTAAGGGATGTGGGAAGCGCCTCGGTAGAACCATCCAACCGTTCGGCCATAACATCAACGAGACCAGGAATCCTGATGATAAGATTACATACGGACAAAACACTTGCAGATAATCCAGTTGATTCCGAACCAAGCACCAGGACAAGAGGCCGGCGTGACTGGGTGGCTGACGCACCCACCTTAAAAAGTTAAACGAAACCATGGCAAAATCCTTAAAAATCCAGTTAATAACGCACATTTATTGCTTCAAGAACGCATGCCATTCACTATGTGCAACTTACAAAACAACAATTTAAAAAAATAATCCACTTGGACGTGAGAAAGAAACTAAGGATTGTTACAACATGAATACACAGGCATATATACAACGTTCATGACCTGGTTGTACGTTTGCTTCAATTCAGGTAAAAGAGAAAATTAAGTCGATACAGGGACGCATAGGACTGAACAGCTAAAAAGGACTTAAAGTTGCTTAGTACTCTATTTAAAGGACTATTTTGGCAGGAAAGACATACCCTCCTTTTTGATACATTAATGCCACCTTTACACAGTAAACAATTTATGATTAAGCGTTTTAACTTACCATCTCAGGTTTGACCAACGGTAGCTCCAACGGTTGGCTATGGTCAAAATTCTCCTGAAACTTCGGTTGATTTCCGGCAGTGCCCACTATAGTGAAGCCGAATTCATGCAATTGTTTTAACGTAGAAACAGAATTCGAAACACGAAAGAAGCGTAAGGCTTCCATTGCTCCAGCACTAAGCTTGCTTATCAGAGGAGATGGGGATGCAGAGAAATGAGCTGAAAATAACACCGTAGGGACACCAAAGAAGACGGCAGAACGAAGTATGCTACCTACATTCATGACATCCTGCACCTGGTCCAAAAACAGCACCACAGATGACGAACCACAACAAGAGCCTACTTTGCCATTACCAGATCTACAATGAATAAAGTGAAGAAGAGAGTGTGCAGACACACCATGAAGACTTGGCGTAGGCAATGGGGTGCACGCAATAGCAACGCCTTGGTTCGAGCGACCGTTTGTGAGAGATGAAAGGAAATCACGAGGAACGGACTTAATTTTGATATCCGAGGTAGAAGCCACCTGAATGAGATTTGACACCCACTGGTTTTTATAGGTGGAGCATTTAGAGGGAAATTGAAGAAGATCGTCCCTGACGTAAATGTGCGAAATAGACCTTTGTTTAGCAGACAAAGCCGCCAGTGTAGGTTGAATCCCGTATATAATTTCTAAGTCATTTTGACTTCCTTTGCGCATGGCGTCAAGTTCCAACTGTAGATTCTTGGGAAGATTTTCACGGACACCATGACATGAGAACCTTTGGACGGAAAACAAGCCGTGGGTAACACGACGCACTTTGAGATGCATAATGAGTTTGTAAAATAAAGGTTCTTTTCTCGAATAATGAGTGACATGACGCTAATGGGCTTCAGAATTTTTCATACACGCGGCAGACTATCGTGTTTCGACGATAGACTACAACGTGAAGGTGGGAAGACCAATAATAGACATTGCAGTATATAAGATCCACACAAAAAACCCAAATTCTAAAAAAGCGGCCACCGTTACTAAACTAGAAAAGAGTTATAATTACTTGTGTATGGCAAAGAAATATCTCTTAGGTAAAACAAAAGCAGCATTAAAATTATTTCACTGAAATAATTATCACTTGATTTTGTTATAGTAAGCTAACTATGATAATGCGTTTAAACAGAAACTTATAGGTGCGAGAAAAATATGACAACGTACTAATCAATAAAGGAACCTGAGAAAATTACATAATGGAATATTCAAAAACTTTGCATGAGTAGTTTTTATCGCGAATTAAATGACTAATGATTATTCAATTCAACGAATAAAACCCTTTTTTAAATTTCCCTTAATATTGCCAGTAAAACTCTCTACAATCAACACTATATATGCACTTTATACTTTAGAATCTGTCTCTTTGCGTTGGAATGGCTTGCTAGGAAAATTGGTAGCCAACCAGAGACAGACACGAGAGAGAAATGGTATATAATGAGAGGTGTGGCCAGCGTGATTGACCCGGGAGGACGGCGCCTGATGTGTGGTTCTGGTTTGTGATTCGTCAAAAAGTCTGTTCTGCTGTACTTATCTTCTTCATACCAGGAGTCGTTTATTATACATTGGTGGCAGCGGATATGTTTGAATGTCGCAAATCGTACCCCAGTCCTAACCTTTCTTTGGACAACAGAAACAAAGACACTTAAACACCAACTTCAATTGCATGGTGGTCCATCGGATGTTCTAAACACTGGATCCATAAACATTGCTTGGGATTTTGACTGCTGTATCTGAGGAACCATCGGCAAGTCAGCGAAGATGATAAGGACGGTAGAAGCCTGATGGACTGCTCGAGGAATATAATATGAGCAGCGCAACGGGCAAGCATTATAGTCCCGAGCCAATGTATGAAGAGCACTGGTACAACAGAACAGGCTTTATTGACCAATCACAAGCCAGAGCCACGCGTCAGGCGCCTCCCATCCGAGTCCACCACGCTGGCCACGCCGCTCATTATATACTGCATCTCATCCATGTCCTTCTCTGGTTGGCTGCCTTCCTATCCCGCATGCCATTGGAACACAGAGACACGGGATTGGCTGCGGCCAGGTGGTCCAACATGTCTGCGCCCTAATCCGACGCCACACTGCCTCCCCCTTAGGAGTGAAGCTGTCCTCAGCTTCTGGCTTGGTTCATCGCTCTGCTGCTGATATCCAATGGTGGTAAAATATCCAGTTCGACACTCCCCGCACCCCACATCTGGCAGGATAGTGGCCCACGCGAATAGTTGACGAGGGATTTTGCTCTTTAGACTTGCAGGAAGGACTCATCATTCATCGAAGGGTCCTTCGCAGATGCAGTCCAGCTGGCTTTCACTGTCCAAGTCGTCGTCGCTGAGTTGCCAATGCCTCTTCAGATGCAGCGGTCCTAATCCCGGGCAATGTATATGGATCCAGTTTATTCGACATCGGCTGACCGCCATGACAATTTCAGCTGGCATTTAAGGGTCTTTGCCTCTGTTGACCATACAAGAGAAAGGGCTGGGGTCCAGCGCGTCCGCTGCCACCAATGCAGAATACCCGAATTCTAATAGGAAAAAGACCCGTACAATAGAACAGGCTTTATTGACCAACCAGAAGCCAGAACCACGCATCAGGCGCCTTTCATCCGTGTCCACCACGCTGGCCACGCCACTCATTATATACTGCACCTCAGTCGTGTCCTTCTCTGGTTGGCTACCTACCTTCCTTGCATGCAATTGGAACGCAGAGAGACACAGGATTGGCTGAGGCCAGGTGGTCCAACATGTCTGCGCCTTAATCAGACGCCACTGTAGAATACCCGAGCCCTAATAGGAAAAATACCGGTACAACAGAACAGGCTTTATTGACCAATCAGAAGCCAGAGCCACGCGTCAGGCGCCTTCCATCCGAGTCCACCACGCTGGCCAGGCCGCTCATTATATGCTGCTCCTCATCCATGTCCTTCTCTGGTTGGCTGCCTTCCTTTCCCCCATGCCATTGGATCGCAGAGAGACACGGGATTGGCTGAGGCCAGGTGGTCCAACATGTCTGCGCCCCAATCCGACGCCACACCACACTGCACGACACTACACACCACCCACCGAACTGCGCTACAACATTACGCTGTCATGGTTCTCCCGACTTCGACTTCGTTCGCCGTGTCTTCATTATCTTTTTTGATTTCCTTAGCAGCTGTGCACTTGCTAAAAGGATATTTGATTAGCTCCCCACTGCTACTCATTTCTGTTGGCATCTTCGGCTCGATATTATTCCTTCTCTTATTGACGGTAATTTTGCTGCTGCCTGATTATCTTTAGGCTGTAAATAATGCCGAGAACCTAGTATTTGGTAAGGGATTCCAGGCCAAGTTGTTTCCTGAAGGTGACTTGCTATTTCTTGGGTTTTGACCTGTTTTAGTTTGTCTTTGCGTCTTAGTGATATGCCTCTCATTGGGCCTTATCCACAGTGTTTGCGGAACTGTTTCGTAAGTTTTGTTGAATATTTTGGCTTATTTTCGCACGGGGTTTTGTGTTTGAGAGCGTCACACGCGCGCATTTTACAAATCCCATTTACCACGTTTGCAATGGCCTTAGCAAATGTAGCCACTCATGACAAAATTTAGGTGAATGTTGTGAGCTCCATAAACCATTTGGTAGTTGCACGTCATATTTCTCCTGGATAATGGACATTTACGGACCTCTGGTTGACTTTCTGTCTTGGTCCACCTATGTTACTGCTAACTCGCAGACATATGGCTTACGCGAATATGATTGTATTCAAAGTCATATATCCAAGCATTTCCATATAAGTCGGAAACAAATCAGTCATTTGTCGTGGTTTTCTTTTCCCTAATATTACAAACAGTATCTCAGATTTAGATTATGCACTTCAACTCGCGCCACCATTGCTAAAATTTCTGACACTAATTGAAAAAAACTAAAGCTGTGCCATTCTTTATGGTTTTCCTGAACACGGTAGCAGGCAATGAATAATTTTCATGTCATGATTCTTCCGGGAACCTTGTCAGAATTAGTTGTATTTCATACGTTGCTTGACTTTTGTCCCTTGTAGTTTTAGCTTAATGTGCATAACGTGGACGGTCATTGTTATTCCTTAAATGTTTTTCTTGTGTAGCTTTTTGTCATCGCTGGCGAGTTGCTACTTTGTCAATGTAATATCGCAGCAGTTTTACGGCATTCAATCTGTTCCACCTGCCGCAGTCGTGGGGAAGAAAAAACGGACCTGAACTCCCATTATTTATTTGCTTTCTTTGTGATCACTTTGTCGTTATTGGTGAATTCCATCTTGTCTAAATATCAGTGTTGTCTTTGTTATTAAAACCAAGTTTGCAGGTAACTGCCTCAAATATTTCATATTCATCGGACAAGTCGGGTGTGTGTGATTTAAGCATTTCTTAATCAAAATCAATTTTTATTCACCCCTAGTTGCGGTCTTTATATGAGAATTTCTTAATGATGGACTGTTGGTCGACTTCAGAGAAAATGTATGGTGCGTTCATAAGAATGGTCAGTGTTCCGCCGGCAATCGCGCATATGAAAATAATGAGTTGAACTCGGTCAATAATCGATGCCACGTACTTCCAGTCTTCACTCACCTAAAATGCGAATATATTTCTTAGTTATTTGGTAATCTTTAGTTATTTTAATTTAATCAACTCAACAGCCTAATCAAAGCCAATGCATAGAACCAATATTGTCCGTACCTGCCTCTCCCTCTCTTCAGCAGCGACGCGCCTCACGATGCGGTCCACACTCTTAATGATCGTCTCAAGGCTCCGTCCTATGCTTATTGGAGTTGCTTCTATAGGTATCGGTTTGGTGCGTCCCACACAGGAGGTTGATTTCTTCTGTTGAAGAATTAGTTTTCAAGATCAAACTATTGATTTGTGTTTAGAGTTGATACTTTCGTGTTTATCGATAATATAAATATCCATAACTCTAAGTGTGTTCAATCTGAGACTAAATTAATGCGATTGGTTTTAATTATTTTAATATATTTGACTGTTTAAGACAGATAAATTGTGGCGCAAACTGGATCATTGTGTGCCAATCTGATTTGATGGGCGTGTTGCTTCTCAATTTATTTAGTCACATTGAATTCCAAATTATGAAATACTAAAATGATTTGGCGGTTTAACTTGGTGTTATCCTCTGGGAGGTAGTCTTATTAACAAATAAACTGATTTGTGACGAAGTAGTTTAGCTAGGGTGCCTTGTGTTTGCCTAAGTAGGATATGTACAACTGAATCAGTGACTTCGCAAAGCTCCCTCGTTCGCAGCGAGCCCCGTTTTTGAAATTCTTACGAGAACAAAGTCAGGAGTATCTAAACTACCCACCATTTGTCGTTTCTCAAGTGTCTAGTTTCCCTGGTGCCGAAACTTCCCATTACGCGATTATTGTTGTGTATTCACGACTAGGGGTAGTGAAACGAGTCCGACACACATCGTGAGGATGAATTCGATTCGTTTACGTCAAGATTTTGCACAAAAAATCACTGGGGTCCATTTGCATTATAAACCAAGATTGGGTATCATGCATTCGAGATTTGAGGTTGTGCTTAGCTACTTAGAGCCGTAGAAGTTTACCTCTTTGCAACCCTCCTCCCAGAGGTTCTGCATTACCAATACGTTCTCAAAGGCATTTGGATGATTATTCCGGGAGGTTTCAGGGCCGCATGGGAAAAATGCGGATTCTGAGAGCTCATCTTCGGTGTTGTCTGCGGTAGAAGTTGTGTCGATCTTTCCAAATCTTCCCATTGTGGAATTCGTTCTCGTCCTTGGTGCTTTTGTCGTCCTTAGAAAAAAAGGATGAAGCTAGAGTTATTCTGGTTATTAGTTGGAATGCCAACACCAGAATATAATTCCGCCAACCCACGAACAATTTATTTGCATCAAAATTTATTGTAGAGTACTTGTCTTATGCTGTTTATGATATTATTGTTGCATAAATATGAGCTGGAATAGTCTCATGAGCTTGTGGTAATGCAGGAAATATGAAAGCGGGCCACTTCTGGGCGTCGGTTTTACATAAGGTGAACTGATTTGCAACGCTAAGTTAGGTTCGCATCATCGAGGGTTAATTTGAAGGTGACTAACTTGCAAACCCTTGGTAGGAGGTGCAAACCGCATCTTACCTTTGCAAACATAGCACCACCGGGAGCCATTCGATGAACATTCGGAAAACCCACCTTGACATAGTCGGGTGATTTTTGGGATTGCGGTGGTACAAGTTGATAATAACTCCAGCAGTAATACAAAGTGCGAGAAAGGTCATTGCAAAAGTGAAGAGTAAAAACTGCGATAAAAGAGGTATGGTTTTTGGGCCAGAAGGAAGTATCTTACTTACCAGAATCATATATACTACTAATGTGACCAAAATGCTAATGGACAAGGTGATTTTCTCACCGGCATTAGTGGGTAGATAGAAGACACAGACGCTTAAGAGGACAATCAAAATACAGGGGATTATAAGATTTGTAATGTAAAAAAGAGGCTTTCGGCGAAGTACGATCTTGAAGGTCACCCGGGCACTGATTGGACGGTTTGAGGCTCGACCATAGCGCACGTTGTGAGTCAGCTGAAGGTCCTCATATCTTGGCGGCGCATGAAAATGGAGGTATCCGGGGCCCTCCAGAAAATCCCAACCTCCGTTCGCTACGTAGTCAGACAAGTCGATAGTTGTTTGGTTGTTGTAGAATTTAATCTCGACCTAGACATTAAAATAAGAAATGCACTTCGCTAAATAATTCCAATACAGTGTTCTAACAAAATACCGGTGTGTGCCTTTTGGTGCATTTATTTGCTGCATTATGTTTATCCAATTAAATGTTAATTCTAAGCCAGTTTGCGTCAACGAATGTTGCTCACGAGTAAACCACTGATCCAAAGTACATTGCTCCGCCACGAAACTAAGATGTTACTTACTTGCTTACTCAACCATATAGGAGGAAAACTAGTAGTACGAAACAGCTTTTCAAAAAGTAATCTTCAAGCATGATTTAGTGTGTTTTTTGTTGTACTTATACAAACCTGTTCGTTGTTCAGCCACGATTCTGGTTGCTACGTGCGTTGCTCGCATCCTCAAAAATCTCTATGAACTAATAACAGCACTTTTTAGGTCACCTTTTCGTCTTATTTAGCAAAAACACAGGTGGTGAAGCTATAACGCACGACTTTAGTGGTAAAACTAGTCGACATTCGAACATGACCTGATTATTCGTATAGGTCCAACTCCCGAGATCCATGTGACAAGTCTGCTGGTCGAATGGGAAGAATCGGACGTCGATTGCACACGAGGTCTTAAAAATAGCTGGAGGTATCCAGAGCACGTCTCCGTTGCTGTGTAGTATCATATTTGGCTTCCACCTTGCTTCAAATTCTCCATCGACACTTAACAGGAAACAAGGCATAAAAAGCGAACCAATAAAATTAAAGGGCGTTGTCAAAATAAGTTCCCTAATTTGATGCTTTTGATGCCCGATATGTCAACTTCAATGACGTCTTGGAGGCAACTAGTTTTGTTTCGGGTGTGACAAAACGCCACTTGCATATACTGATTGTGTTTTCAGGTAATCTGGGCATAATTAATTTCAAAGGTAATTCAGTTGAATTGTGCCTAAACTTGTAACCCAGCTGTTCTCTCGCCGTTTGGCATAACCTACATTGCAAGCCTAGGATAGTGTCTAGCGAGCATGGTGGCTGGAAAATTATTATAGTTATAGAAATTACCGAATTCCCAACCTACATTTTATTGTGCAATAGAATCACCCTACAATAACTTACTTGTTCAGTACGACGATATCTGGTTTCCAAAGTTTGTGGGCTGCAATATTGATGGACTGAATCCCAGCAAACTCACTAGGATCCCAGGCTAATCTGTAGTCGTGCCACGACTTGTAATTGAAATAAGGGTAACTTTCATTAATTTTTGCAAAAAGCGCGCCAGCCATTAACATTAGACCTGGCTTACCATTCTTAACCAGACATTGCTTTTGAGACGTTGATATTTTTCATCCTGAACAAAGACAGATACAATAGCTTACATTCGATGCATATTAACACAAACAACAAATTAGTCGTCTAAACAATCCCCATTCAGCAATCTTACGTCGTGGAATTTTATAAAATTAGACAGAAATTATTACGGGCCTAGACGGTAACTGTGTTTGACGGCCACGATTAAGAAAAATTGGACATTGTTACAGAGGCTCACTAAGTTGTAGTTTGCACAATGTCGTCGACGATGCTTACCAGCTGAACAATTTGTATCATCGCCAGTCCTACTTTAACTAACACAGTATCATTGTTCGATATGACTGGTAGTGCTAGTGAGTTGTATTGTTTGTCTTCGAATATATACCGGACAAGAAGGTCCTGATCCGAGGTCGGTATTCCGGCTAAAGTTAAAACCACATCATTGTTCAAGTTGAAACAATTAAAAAATCGAAAGACTGCGGATTAATTACCTTGTCCAATGTAAAGACCTGCTATCCGGCAAACTACTGTCAATACGCCTGTGATCAACAGCAGGCGGGAGTACGCCATTAGAATGCAGGAAGAGTAGGGAAACGGGGACTTAAACTCTTCCCTGACCTGTTTGTCCAATCACAATGAAACTACCATTTGAATCGCACTGGCTCATCCAATCTAAGTAGGCCTTTAGATGAAAAAATTGGAGTGTCTGACTTCTGCTGCACAGCTAAATAGGTTGCGGAGAATCATTAATTGAACGAATCTACTTTTTGCAAGCCACGTTACCGCTCCTCACAGGCATCAGTTTTCGAATTTTTCACATGAACCTGCGACAATTATACCTCTGGAAAATTGGAAAACTTGCTCTGAAATTTTATGTAAACATACTAGATAAGCCTATCGGTGCTTAGAAATTACTGTGATATGGCTAAAATGGGTCCAAGGAACGGACCAGCTTTCAAAGGAAATTTTGGTGACTGTCAACTTGGATCATGCCTCACATAGGTTGCGAACTTCTATTGATTTAACTTAAGTATGCTGATTATAATATCTAAATGAGAGGAATTCACGTCCGGAAGTGAAATTGAATTGGGGCTAAATCAAGCATTCTTTTGGCCTTTAAAAGCTACTTCGAAGGAAGAGTCAGCTTGGTTTAAAGTTGTACGTTTCCTGCATAATCTACGCACACATCCTACATAGTACACTCGCAACCAAGTAATAAATCATATAAGAATAACAAATTTGCATATTTTTATTGTAACTTTGCTCGTTGAATGGATTTCGACTTTTAACTGTCACGTTTATTCTTTGGTAATTTTTTCAGTACGTCTTTCATTTCCAGCGATGGAGAAGCGTCGCTACTGTGATTGCAATTTCCCGATGTCGTATCGATGTCTGAAACGATACCCTAGAAAATATAGCAATAACGATAATTTTGACACCAAAAATAATGGCAACCATCGAAGTTATCAATTACGACCGGACTTTTAACGTACACTGGTGGTCATGTGTTGCTTGACACGGCGAACATTTTTGTCAATTTCAGGGAGGGACTCGGGAAATAATGACTTTTTCTTGAAAACATTCCTGGGGGCTTGAAAGAAAGGACAATATATGGACCGCTGACAATGCAGTTGTTGTATAAACGCAAGCACTCACCAACAGAAGAGCTGGCGTTCATCTGGTTGTAAACGTCTGAAAAGCAACGAGTTTGCGTATGTAGTGAGTCCTTTTGGATTCTTCACACATTTTCAAAATCATGCCACTTTTTGACATGTGGTGCAAAATTAACATGATGAAATTATTTTCTATGACTTTTGAAAGTTAGCCTCACTCTCTTGCTATAGAAGTCATCATTTTTTATCTTCTTTAAGTTCAGATGGTTAGCCAGACTAAGTGAAATTGCTACCGGCTACGATTTTGACAGTGAGCGTGTTTGGTAAATAAAATACCTCTCCAAAACTACCAAAAAGTGTTGGCAGACAGAATATTGGTAATTTGGGCATCTTGTTCATGGGGTTTTGCACTTTACCACAGTGAAACCACTTGGCAAATATTTTGATTGAGAAGGCTTTGCTTTTGAGTACCCAGTACTTTTTTACATATCAGGCTGCACTAACTGCTGGAACAGAAAACTGAACGAAAATATGTGATTACATGAAACACACTAATGAGATAAAAGCAGGGAATTGATCATCAAAAAATTCACAAACCAATGCGAAATCCTTTTAGTTTCCTTTTACTTTATGGGTTTTTGCTGAGATTCGACTGGATGAAACACTACAATACTTTGATATAGACTTACAGTCTCCAACAAGGGGTAGTTTGCTGTGCGTGTATAACGCACTATTTCCCGTCAAGTCTTCCTTGCTAGCAAAATATTTAACTGGATTGTTCATGAAATCCAAACTCTGGAGGTCCTTCTGTTTCATCAGCGGCTTCATGCCCACAGACTAGAAGGTAAAGTAACATAAGGACAATAAATAGTATTTTCAGATGTATATCCAAACTAATTAACTCCTTAGTTTTGTCAAAATAAAAATAACTTGATAAACATAAGAAGAGGTTCAAGTACACTTAAACAAAGTCTAGTCTTAGAGATTTGATTCAGTGAAGTTGCTCGGAGAAGGGCCTAATCGAAAATGCAATGTGGCGTCGTATCATGTCATGGGAGTAATCAAGAGCCAAGTGCAGTCCTGCACACATATGGAACGAAATGTGACCTCTAATGTTGTCATGGAACTTCTTGGTAAAAATGCCCCATCTTAAATATTTACGAGAATTGTGACGTCAAAAATGCACATGAACAAAAGCCCTTTGGGTAAGGCTATTTAAGACATCTGCAACATAACCTTACGTAATAGGGCCCATAGTTTGGTCGTCCCAATCTCTCGGCATGCAGGAAAGTCATATCAGTTAGAATCTTTGGTTGTCGTCGCATTGGCTTATCTAGACGTATTCTGCGGTATTCCACACCTCAAAAAATAAATAAAATGATTTGCTTTTTGATGACTAGTAATAGTTGTGTCAGGTGTGAAACCTTTGGGAAGGGTGTGTAGTACTCGTGATAGCATACAGCTCTCCAATGTAGAGGCTTTTTATTCTAAATACAAATTACTTTAAGTAAAACCTGTTCAAGCTCTAAAGATAACGCAGACAGGAACGGCCAAAGTGGGAATATAAACGCAAAAACGATCTTGAGAAAGAAAGAGAAAAGCCCTCAATGTCAATCACTGCTTATAATAATGCGATATGACCCATTTTTACAGTAATCGATGATTCTTATGATTAAAGTTAAACTGAACTTACATGAAAACGGTTAAATGCATTAAGTGCGTCTGCACTCCCTAGCCCAAATCACACTTCCTTTTCTTCAAATGTTAGGTAACATTAAAACGATTCTTGAGGTTGTTGCCAATAGGGAAACTGAAACATCGTTAATAGCCACATTATGAACCTGTAAATGGATAAATACCCATGATAGTTTGATCCCAGACTGCCAGTCTATCGCGAATGCGTTGGAGATCTTCCTCTGAATGTATTTTCCCGTCACCCAGAACATTCTTTATTCCGAGGGCAAAGTCCTCGCCTGCCAGACCGATGAAGGGCTGAAATGAACACCAGAGGGAAGCTTACGATTAATAAGAAAAAATGGAGCTGAATACGAGCCAGGTTTTCGCTTTATCGATGGGGCGCCATCTTCATTAACTAATTTAGCAGAGTCGTACTAAATGCTGCAATTTTTGCAGAAACCTTGCCCACGGCTCTGGCCTGGACGCAAACAGCTGAAAGAGCGGAGGATAAAATACCGCTCACGTACTTGCAAAATTTAGTTATTCCACCCCAGTTAGTTCCATGACCGAGTAGGCCATGGTATCGTGATACTAACGTTCCTTAAAAAACCGGGCGTGAAGGTGAAATAGAATATTGACTTTTAATTAACGGTCTTAGCTGTTAAACACATCACTTCACCGATGGACAAATCAACGAATTTCTGATCCCCGACAATGATTGGTTCGCATTTTGGTTGCATTCAAGTGAAAGGAATGGTATGCAATTTTTTTCATATTCACCTTACTTTAAATGTTTACTTACAATAAGTCCATCGAAGTAATAATTGCTAGGGCCTCAAATCAAGACTAATTGTAATGATAGGTCCCGGTATTATATTGACATGGTAACAAGCATGGCTTTGAGACTCGTCTTCCAACACGATTGAATTGCCTTCTGTCATACTTTACTAAGTAAAGCTATCAGAAACGCAGCAGTATGCTGAATCACTTGCAAAAAGAAAAAACATAAATACATGGCATGATAGCGCCCATTTTCTTTTGCTATAAATGTATCGTTTTGCAGATTGTTGTAGCGATGTTTGAAGCATCAAGGACACTTCAAGACCTTCAAAAAAATTTAACGGCACATAAACTTGCACTATCATTATCAACTGCGGATCCGATCCCTTTCGAGTCTTCTTCGCTGGAACGTTCAAGTGCGGGCTCTGGAAGGACCTCTTGACTGAAGACGGAGTCCTTCGATGTATCCCTCTGAAACGAGTCAAGTTTCCACCGATCGGCCTGTAAATAAAAAAGTATAAGACATGAGGATTGTCGTCTCATTATCATCCACTCAAGCATATTAAGGCTGGTTACAAACTAAGACAAGTTTAAATTTAAAACGTAAGGAAATTCAAAAAAGCCTGTATTAAGATGCGTGATATCACGTAACACCCAAAGCTGTGGCTACAAATGAACTTTGGCGACCAGAAATCCCACAAACTTAAAAATGATTGCGTAATGTATTTGTGGCAAAGCCAATCCTTAAAATCAGAGTACTCAGATTTCAACAAGGGTAATAAAGACCCTTTCGAGACTGCATGCTTTTCAGCAAATGTAATAATTAGGGTTGAAATGGAATCCTGCCAGATGCCTATGGTTATCAACTCACCCATCATTACAACTATTGCCATGAGACAATCATAGTTACAGTAGGCCAAAAATCAAAGCAAAATCAGAAGCTCACCTGACCAAAGATACCGAGTCGGTGACCCTCGAGACTCCAAAGGCAAACCGAACAGTCGGAGCTGGATGTGGCAAGCACGTTTCGTTTTTCGGGTCGAACACAAAATACCACGTCTGTTATTAGGTCCAAATGCGCATTCCACTGAGAAATGAGTGCTAACATCACAAAAATACAGCAATGCAGGTAAAACAAAATAGGCCACAGTCTACAATTTTAACAACAGAAGTTCTTTAACACCTTGGGCCTGATACCAGGGCTTAAAAATATGGTCATGAGAAGCTAGTTGAAACAAAACCAAGTTCTCAGTCAGTGCACTGTATTTGTGTCTGAGAACATTAATTAAGTGGGTGCACATATTCCGGTGAATTTTGAATATTCGAGAATTTTACGTCCAAGGTGCCAACATTCGTCAGATTGACTTACGTGGAGCGTACATGCACTTTTCTGAACCCTCGCTCAAGCAATAAGTGGCTATATTCCATAGTTTAACGTTTCCTTCGACATCTGCGGTTGCGAGCTTCTCGTTTAACGGATCAACGGCCATCACTATACTGCTCACTAAAATGTTTAAAGTAAAAAGTAGTTAAATGCTATGAAAGTAAGAAAGTTATCAGGGTGGAAAGTACACCTGTTGGAAACGTCTATGACTAATTTTGTAGAATATTTAATGAGAAATCAAAACCTGAAATTGAGTTTAATGGAAATACGTGAGAAAGTTTTTTTTTAAAAAAAGAATGGGCTACAACTCTTTCTCAAAGGGGGGCGTTTATGACACCGAAAGGGGAATGCTTAATGAATTTAAATTAGCATTATCAGCCAACACAGAGGAACTGCAAGAGGAGACCTTAGTTCTTTGACGATACATTCGCGCTGATTTCCAGCGGCAACCATTTTTGCAACGATTTGCGGTCACAAAAATTCGATACAAAATCATCCGCAACACCCAAATCGTGATAAATTAAGGCAATCAGGCTTCTAACAGGCATAAAAAATGATGGTGTGAGCAAACAACAAATAACGGAAAAGTCCAAATGGTAGAAGTTACCTATTTAAAACAGCATTAGAAATCGAAAAGGGGAATAACTGAAACATGATTGTGACAAAATAATTTGCCAGTGGCGTTTTAACTTGTCGATCATTTTATCACGAAAACCTTTATTCCATTATTGTTCTTCTTAACGTGTACTTTATGATTATTCAGAAGTAAAGATTCGACGAAAATGGTTGCTGTTCAACATATCTGCCAAAAAGGTGGAAAGCACCGACAATAATGTCACACAGTTAAGCTAATAGAGGGGTTTTCTGGGACCTCGTGCTCGCGATTTCTTATGGAACTCCAAAACGCACATCTATAATTCGACACGGAAAAAACGATGAAGGATTCTAATCCAAAAATGTCGTTGAAAAATGTTAAACTATGGCTTGAAATGGCTATAGACACTCTGCTGGGCTTCATATTTCATTGTGATATTGATTTAGCCTGTAAGTCTAAAGTAGCTAGACATCATTTCCGTGCTTTAACCTCGGAAATTACTTCGTATCTCCCTTTAGTCCGAAGCAAACTCTCGATTAAACCAATGTCTAGAAGATTGCAAATTTTAAACTAGTATATATTTGAAAAGAACAAGGTTTGACATTATGGCAGGGTTCAAAATGAGGCCTCTAGAGCAATACACGAAAGCTTTACGAAGACAACGTTAAACTCGAAATGTGGCCAAAGAGATTGATATTGTCTTTCGCATGAGACAAGTGTTAAAGTCTTGATTACTCAATTTGGTAAATTGCAACTTGTAAAAGCTACCTTGAGAATTTAAGGAATCTACCTTTAGGGTGAGCCGCAAACTCCCCAATAAGGATACATTCATATGCATTCCAGAAGCGGACATATCCATTGCCTCCACAGGTAACAATGTTTGCGCCTTTAGTGCTTCCGGACTTAATTGAACTTCGCGCTGTCAGGAGAACCACCCTCGAGATGTTATAGAGCATTTCCGAGTACTGTATAACGGCAGTAAAGTGGGAAAAAATTGCTTCATAACATTCGTCCTAAGCAGTCCCAATATATTGACTACAAAGTGCTCTTGCATTCTACATGCTTAATGCTTATGTTGAGTTCTTACACGAGCATCATCGTTTTGAAAATAAACTCCACCTTTTTTACTGACTGAAGGATGATGCGAGTTTAAACCTTAGCTGTGGGTCATAAAATCCTCGATTTAATTATTCATAGTCTTTAGGTTTAAAGATCCATCAAAAAGAAAAGTGATCGAAAAACACAAAATTGTCTACCGTTTCAGTATTTTTGGTGGTTCGTTGATTCATTCGCCTAGAAACAAGGTCGGAATTGGTGTTCCAGACAATCAATTCACCATCATAGGAGCCAGTAATGAGACTGTGCGGTGGAAGAGGGCAACCAGCCACGACATCGTCCCTGTGTTGCTGGTAAAAAATCGTAAAAAGCCAAAGCTATGTTAAAACAGAAACAGAGATCCTATTTTGCTTACAATCACATGATCGAATCGCTAATCGCTTCTTAAATTGCTCAGGGACTTGTTATCTGCCAAGAAAAATTTCGTCGAAAAGATCTATAGGATCAATATAGTTGTGAATGCCTGAGAAATGTCCTCGTTCTATCCATGGCTATATTTTACGAAGCGTGGGCCAAAATGTTGAGGGGAGAAAGTTCAAAGCGTCATGACTGTGCACATCACAACTAATGGCGACGAAGTGCATGATCGTAGGTTATTGATCTACTCAAAACCTGCATCTTTATCGCTGGGATATTTTTCGCCTAATGAACTAATATGAAAGAATATCAGCGAGCATATTAAGTATAACTGATAACGTAACCTTTTGCATTTTCTTTGCGAGAATGTATATTAATCAGTTTCCAGTGTACATAACTTTTGAACATATCTAAAACCACGGAAGGACACAAGAGATGCCCTCAATTATTGCGAATGAATGCCATCGACATGTTTATTTGCGTTGCTAGCATATTTAATCATTAAACGAAATTTACATTATTTGGGAATTTGGTCAGAACTTGATTTGACCCACTAACGATTACCTGATCTTAAAAATTCTCACTAGTTCTAACCAAGTGACTTGGCTGGACTCTCATGCAATTCAAATATATCAAAACATTTCACATGAAATTCGACCCAGTCTGTGTTAATGTCGACACATTGAAATACCATTTAAGGTTTCATAAAAAAACTGAATTTTGTTCCATCAAAAGAGGGCTGAACAGGTGTTCACTCATATTTGACTACATGAACTATTTACATGCCATCAAGCATGATAGGTGTAAAAATAAATTAACTCACTAATGTAAGAAATTAGCCAAAGACATTTCTGCAAATTTGGGAAAAAAAGATTGGGTCGTTTTGCTTAAAGCAATCTTTACCGGTGGACTTTTCCACTCAGACGGGTAGACAAAATGGTCATTAAAGTTGGTCATTTTGAAAACGGTGAAGTGTTTCGAGCCACCGATTACGATAACTGCTCTTTTAAGAATGACCACCTGCGTGACGTCTAAAAAGGAATTCTTGGAGCACACAAGTGTATGCTGACAATGACCATTCATATCCCACACCTGTGTAAAAAGAAAAAAACTGTTATCAAAAAACTATTGGTGAAAACAGCGATCTATTAATTGTGGTTATGAAATAAAGCTGTGTCCAACACTTTGCCTTTTCCAAATTTCAGTTCAAGCATTACATCAAATAGATTGAGCGCTGTTCTTCCTTGTACAAACAGGATTTATCCTTATATATTGGCAATGCAGGTATTACTCCATTCTTTCACATTGTCCACAATGATATAAAAATGAGTAACAGCGTGAATACAAAGCATTCAGCAATGTAAACAATTTGCTGAAAATTTTGTGTCATTTGAAGTAAAGTAGTGCCATCTGTACATGACGGTTATAAAGTCAGTGCGCATCCACTTTTAATTGCAGGCACTTTTCCAAAGTATTGCATCTCTCTTATTTGATTCTGGTGTCGTAAAACCAAAATAAATTAGTGCAAATCCATGAAGATGCACTTTCAGGCAAGTTAATATAACTGAACACATTAAACTACAAAACTACTTCTACATAATACGCAATACTTTAAACATTTGCCTACTTTGACAGTTCCATTAGTGCTGCCTGTGTAAAGGCGGGTAAAGGTAGAATCCTGAGAAAGGCAGGTTATTTCAGCGTCACCGTGGCAGTTGGTGATGTTTTTAATTCGCTGTCCACTTTCAACCAGCCAGTAGGCCATTTTACCTCCTTGACATACCGTAACAATCTGATAGGAAGATTAAACTAGGGTGAACATTCAAGTTTAGAAGGCAAAATAACAACGATAAAAGGTTATAATTGCTTATCCTAGCGATCTGTTGAAATCAAGTTTTAACTACTCTCCTCCAGTCCCTTTCATTCACAAAACAATGAAAATATCCCTTATAGCCTAGTCAGCAAAAACCTTTTGCAGTCTAATTTCAGAAGGCACTTCTCAATATGCAGTTGTGCTACAAGAAATTGGACTTAACAGACCATTCTGGTATCAGAGACATCAGCATAGAAGTGTTGAAAATATAACAACCCCAGGTTTATTCAATTTATAGATAAAATTTAGTGTGATGTTGATGCATCCACATCGCCCACACGGACATATTTGACCCTGCGTTCGTGCATCAAGCGCCCCTGCCATTCATCTACTCACCTGGCCATTCAGTGACTTGTACTGTTACTAATTTAACAGATCTATTGGTGGCCAACAAACTCTATCGGCTATACACGATTTTGTAGGCACAGCAGCATGGAACACGGAGACGACAGTATTGGGATACCTAATAAACGGTTAAGTTTCTCTCTGGGTACTTAGCGCCGTATCATGCCACAACGATAGCAACCGGAACCCGAGCCAAAGAGTTACAATGTCTTGGTGTGCTGAATCGACGCAATCACATGTTAAGAACAATAAATGACAGGATCGGACAAGGAAACCAAACGCCGGGAGGGTTACAATGCCTTTCAAGAAAAATCATCGGATTAGTTCAGTTGTAATTTTCTGAAGACACTGTATTTAACCTAAGCACATTTTCTACTAAGACATTATTGTCAGTGATAAACCGATAGGCTGACCTGATTAAAAGTGGGGTTGTAGACAACACCGACAACAGGGGTGTCATGTGTGAAAATGCGGTCGGTGATATCGGGTCTCATTTGAAGAACTGCCAATGTGTCGTTATAGGCAATAAACAGTCTGCCCTTTTCCTCATGAAAATATGTCCTATAATAGACTAAAACAACAGCGATTAACATGTCAGCAAAACACTGCATTAAGATCTATGATTGGAGACGGCAACTTACGCTGAGAGCGCAGTACGCTGCTTACATCTAAATATTTAAGATAAAAAGTCAAGTGTTTTATAATGCAATGGTCCAATGCAATTAAAAGCTATTTGTGTTCTCATGAATGACTTAAGTACGTTTAAACTGCCTATTAAGCTATTCGCAAGCAAATTAACTGTGCAGCGACTGACTTAAGAGATGAGGGGTTCAGTGGCAGCCCTTCAAACCGTATTAATGCATGATGATTTACATTGCCTAAGAATATCAATACGCTGACCATGATTTCAATAAACTTTAGGAATATTAGGCTAAACAATAAATTACTGATGCCAAAGCTTAAAACCAATCACAATTCATCTGTTCACTAATAATTAAGAGTAATGACATGAATGTAGACCGGATAATTACCATTAAGTCCTTTTGGATAAATGCCCGTCAGCTTTTGGATACAGACTTGAAGTTGCGTGTCCCAAACACAAAGAACATTATCTTTGGAGTAACTTAACAACCGCTGTCGTGTGGTCTGGAATTGAACAGCCACAACAGCAGCCGAGTGACCTCGAAGCAACTGTAAGGTCAAAAGCATACTTGTTAATTAAGTCCCACAGTTTGAGAAAAGATATGAGTGGCTTGAGCTGTGTTATAACTCAGCTTCAAACATTATGCCTTCTTTAGCTAGCATTTTACATGATACTTCAGCTATTACAAACATAAAAGTAAGAAAACATTATTTAGATCAGGAAATACATTTACAGAACACAATAAGCATAACTTTCAAACACATATAAATTACTCAAACGGTAAATTTGTAACGGTAAAACTAACACGTCTGTGTATGTACTCGTTAAAAGAGTAAACATGGGATTATTCATACCCCACTTGGTTTTGAAGTAACGTATGGATTCCATAAGTTAATGTGAAAATTAATTCCGGCTGTTGCAATCAGACTTAGGTCACTGTGGTAGTCAAATCCGTTGATCCCTTGGTGGATATCAAATCTTGACCTATCATACCATAGTGAATTGACGTTAAAAGCATGCATGCCCGGACATCGCAACCAAAGTTTCTAACGAGTGCTTACACATGGGTGACTGCACGAACAAAACTCCTAGATTAAAAAAGTGCAACATTTAAAATTTGTCGTCTGGCAATGTTAAAAACTGGTCGAAAACAAACATACTCTTCGATGAACCCATCACTATTAGTTGTTATTTTCTCCAGCCAGGAAATCGCCAGAGCACCGCTCCACTGGGTCGCACAACTAATAAAGCAGTCCAGTGGAGGAATGTATCGTACTGAAGTAACAAGTGGGGACTTATTTCAAACTGACATAAATATAAGGAAAAACAAAGCAGCATCTTTAAAAAAAGCAACGTTTATTCATTAGTAACAACATTATATCCTTGGACTTAATTTACGCTAACTAAGCCAATGTCGTAACGCATGTAAATAACTAAAACGTGTATGATTTAGACTACTGATCTAACGAAATTAATCAACGGATAGACTTGTCTTATCTAATCCTATAATAAAACGATTTGCCTTTGAGGTTCTACTTTGTTTTGGGCTACCAGATTTAACATGCACTTATGGCTACTGCATCAAGAATTTTCTCACTTAAAACTTGATGGTAAAGTGTAATATCAGTCGATAACAATGCGAGTGATTGATATGAAAATTACTTACCCTGACGTACCCAATCACCATGTACCTTGTATCGGTTAATAATTGCAGCCTCCGAGGACTTTAAAATATCGGTGTACTGAACAACTATAGTGGATTCTAAGAGAAGGAATGACAATTATTTGGTTAAAAAGGTAGATCAGCTGGATGTAAGAAAGGCGACATGCGTAACTAAAAAGTAATTTAATAACCTTCTTGTTCACGTGGAAGATTAGGAGGACGCTCGAACAAAATAGTTTGAGCATTGCGCCAAAATATGACATTCACATATCCATCTGTGTCCCCCCAAAGCAAAAAGGCTTCGTTATGGTTTTCAGGATTATACCTTAATTTCACATTATTAATAACGAAATACCAGAAGTCAGCACAAATGGGAACTGCTGGAAGGCCGCATAGCTTAATAGGAGTCTGCAGTTCCAGTTTCAAACTGAGGTTGGAAAACACTGCAAAGTTACAATAAAAAACACCACTTACATATTTCTTTACTTGAAAGTAGAAAAGCCACTTTGCTGATATTAACCATGATAACAGCATCCGATACCCAAAGATCGCGGGGCTTACACATATCTGTAGTAATTCTATTTGACTTACGAGGACGCATATCCAGACCGTACATTACGACAAGCCCTTCCTATTAACAATTATAAAAGAACATTACCACCCTCACTTTGCTTATGCTAAGATATCTTTCATAGTTCTTTAGTTTAGTTATCCTCTGAATACAGTCTTTATGTAAGCTGCCAATCAAAGTAATTTGAAGAGGCATACCTTCGAAGGGTTTTCAGGGTTTTCCATTGAGGCACTGATATGGAATTGCTTCTTTCATCTCTTTCATGGTAATCAAGAATAAAATGAGCCGCAATTTTATCCCAATCTACAACATTCTCGGCAGAAATATCAATTTTATCAAACAATTCATCAAACTAGAATTAACACAAAGGTAAGCAATCACACTTCTTGTCGGGAACCTCGATTTAATATCAGAGAAAGCGCCTCAATAAACTGTTCCTTGTTTAGAGACAAAAGGTTATTGTAACCTTTCCCAGGTACCTGTCATGCTGAATAAGTAAATCGTATAACTACGGAAAAAGCCTCCTGAAGTGCCATCAAGTCATCAACATTAAGCTTCATTTCGATTGTTTGGTCATTTCCACTACCTCAATAATAAATCCAATTTGAATTATACCTTTGAGTATGGGAATCTTTAGAATTCCAAAATGAGGCCATTCTTAAACATTAATTCAAAAAAGGAGAACCTCTAATACTATGGTACCAAGGTCAAATGCACACCTAAAGAAACCGATGTCAAGAAAGGGTTTAGGGCAGATTCAAGCCTTGCAGACTTAATTTGAAGCCTAGTTTTTGTCGTTTTACACTTTTTTAGGCTTTTTGATGCCTGAAGAACATGCATTCATTCCAACATACTCAGACAATTTGATTTACTCATGGCATGTCTGACAAAAGGAAAAAAATATGAGTTTATTTCAAAGCCCATTGCCATAATATTTTTGAGCACGACATCCAATGTATAAAATGATTATGCTAACAATTGCTCAAATGTGAAATATTTTACATGTCAATGAATGAAAATTGCATCTGTTTTGTCTGCTTGAAAAGGCAATGTTAAACAAAACCATACTTAAAACCTATGTTTTCTAAAATATGAATACGTTAATAACGTGCCATCATCGATGCGAAACAACAAGAAAATTTTCGGATTTCCTAAAGAGTTCTGATTGTCATTTTCTAAATAACGCATGCGTTACCTGAATTATTAACTTATCACAAGCAAAAATTATATAACAGCTGCATACCTACTCAATGCTACTCGCAGGCAAAAGTTTCCGTTAATCGGGTCGGAGCAGAATTAACCTAATTCTTACCTTTATTGGACGTCGCAAGTACATGGAACAAATTGCAGTTCATTCAGCGATGTTGTAACCCTAACGAAATATTGTGTGAGTAATGTTTTCCTCATCCATTTGAATTCAGGTTCAGTGACAACGAACCATTTTGATTTGATAATCTTAACATTCACTCCTATTCCTTTGACTTCAAATATATGCTAGAGGTCGGTTAAACACATCAGGAGCGGAATTAGTGCAGCTCTCACACCAGGATCTAATACGATTTTGGCTAGTGGACACCTACAAGAGAGTTGTCCAATATTTGCGCTCTTTAATGGCAAACAAATGGTCCACCAGCCACTGTCTCTCCGTAATTTTCTTACAAACAGCATCTTCCAACACATGGGCGATTTTCACTCTTCCTAGTCTTCAGTTGGGTTCTTATTAACCTTCTTAGCTATTAAATGATTTATTGATCGGTGATTAGCGAAGTTCCTTGTGTGATCAAATATGGCTGCGGCCTTTGTTTTTTTGGTCCGTCACAATTGTAAAATACCCGAACCCTAATAGGAAAAAGACTGGTACAACAGAACAAGCTTTATTGACCAATCACAAGCCAGAGCCAAGCGTCAGGCGCCTCCCATCCGAGTCCGCCACGCTGGCCACGCCGCTCATTGTATACTGCATCTCATCCATGTCCTTCTCTGGTTGGCTGCCTTCCTATCCCGCATGCCATTGGAACACAGAGAGACACAGGATTGGCTGCGGCCAGGTGGTCCAACATGTCTGCGCCCTAATCCGACGCCACACTGCCTCCCCCTCAGGAGTGAAGCTGTCCTCAGCTTCTGGCTTGGTTCAGCGCTCTGCTGCTGATATCCAGTTCGACACTTCCCACAACCCACATCTGGCAGGATAGTGGCCTAAGCGAAC